GAACGAGCCACCTGGTGGTGAAACTGGTAACTACTTACTCGCATCTGCGTTATTGGCCATGCCATCATTAAAGTGTTGCTAAAAGATATTCTAACAAATAAAAGGCGACCTCCTCATATCACCCTGGTATACCATGACAGTTACGCCACCTCTGAAAATGAGGTTGGACTGCTATGTTCACTGATTTATCTAATAAAATGGCCACGATGGAAAGGAAAGCGAAGATTGGAGCATTATTTTCTCCTACTACTAGCTATAGCAAATGTGTGAAATGACATTATACAGCTTTAATTGAGCAGATTGTTGTTCCCTCTTCAAAAGAGGAGACACAAAAATCTTTCCTTATATGGTCAAAATATTTCCCATGATGCAGTTTGCGGAGGAACAAATTTATACTTCCTTATTTTCCCCCATAGGTTCAACATGGTGATTTTCACACCTATTTTTCAAACGATATACATGTATTAGTTTATATTCCCGTACGAGAGCACAAAAAGAATTATCAGAAATGATTGATCTCTTATTAATCTTAATAAAACACTTATTTTTTCTTACATTGCGTGTTACTTTTGGAACACCCTGTATGACTGAAAAGTGAGAAAATTTTCTGGAAGAGAATCACGTGATCAGTTGACTAGTTGCCATATTGGAAAAAAACAATTCCATTCGACTTTCAACACTTTCATGCCAATCTTACCGCACTACAAACTGCAACTGAATAATAGTTCTCATCTTTAAATTACATAATAGAGTTACATTGAAAACCCAAAAACGACTGAGCAGTTGACCAAAGAAGACGCGTCACTGTTATCTAGGTCAATCTGTTCAGTGGTCCGAAAGCAAATCTATAGTACTCGTTTCCGAATTTTGTTGTTCATTGTACAATCTTTTATTGATTAAACTCGGTATACTGTTTATCAAAGCAATGACAAAGAAGAATACTTCCGATGGTGTCATTGTTTTATTTAGTGTGCGGGTGTACAAACAAAGGAGTGGTATCGATATGGAAACATTTTGAACACACGTTTCTCTTAAACCAGTCATAAACAAAATCTAAAAAATTAACACATCGTCAATTTAATGGTCATCTTTTGAATGGTAACAATATAATTTGAAAAACATATATATACTTTCATCTATTTTGTTTTAGAAAACACATCAAACACTTGTTTTGTTCTTGGTATCATGTTTCAAGAATGAAATGAAACATCTTTCCAAACCTCATTGGAACAAAACGACATAAAGACAACATGTTTAGGTCTCTCAATATTGTAATTGTACAAAGGAAATTTTGGTTGATTTTAAAAAAGTATCTTGTTAATGAAATAAAAGGTTTATCTTGATTTTTATCTATTTTTGGGGGGATTTTGTTCTAATTTTTTGAATACTTTTTTAAAATCAACCAAAAATTCCTTTGTATAACTATAATATTGAGAGGTCTAAAACATGTTGTATATGCTATTTTGTTCCAACAAGGTTCGGAAAGACATTTTATTTCATTCTCAAGAATTGGTAGAAATGAGCAAAAACAATTGCACTAAAAAAAACAAAAAAAATGTTAACAAAAACAGTTATGTAAAATATTGAACAAATATTTCACTCTATTGAGGTGAATACCTGTACATCTTTCACAAGTGATATTCCACGAAGCCCGAAGGGCAAGTGGAATATCACCTTGTGAAAGTGCTACAGGTATTCACCGAAAATAGAGTGAAATATTTGTTTTATTATATCACTGTCTAGCTAAACATCCCTAATATTATTAAGTCATTAAGTCTTCAGATATTTTTACGAATCTACTCGATTCGTCTGCCATTTTGACTTAAACTGAACTAAATTATTTACACTGAACGAAAACAAATTCTTTGAAAATTCCCGGGAGCGTGGGATATCGCTAGATATCTCACGGTTGTCTTATCTGATTAGCATTGCCATTGAATATCGCCAGATATCCCACGACATGTGACCCGGTTTTGACCAATCATACTGTCGCTAGCTAGATAGTGATATAATAATTCTAAATAATTTTCGCATTAAATTGTTGTCAATCAGTCAACATTACATAAAATACCGTGTTTTTGTACAGAATGTTTTCAATGATTGGTTTAAGAGAAAAACATTGTTGAATTCAGTTCTCCATATCGATACCAATCCTTTGCGTAATTAGTTTGATTTAGAACTTTCGCAATGTTATTTTACATATCTTGACCCAACTCCCAAATTGGTAAATAGGCATTTGCGTTATAGCCAAAAATTCAGTTAAGATGACAAAGGATTGTCTATAAAATACTATTCTTTTTATCATATTTCACATAAAAATAATTACTCATTGGGGAAACTTTAATTTACTCCCAATGAAGCAGTTTGCATAATATTACATTTTATGAATTGATTATTGTAAATGTGTAGTTAATTACATGTAAATTCATACTATAAATTGTCGATTTATGATGTTATTTACTGAGAGTAGGCTATATAATTATACTACAGAAGTTATATATCATGGACCATAACAGTTAAAAGGAGCTCATGTATAAGTTGTTTTTATTATTCCTCAGAGTTTAATTTAAATCTTTTCAACTGGGTAAGTTGCAAACTCAACCCTAAATGCGGTTTCAATCTTAAGAACAAAGTGAGTGCTCAAATCATGTTATACTTAGTAACTTAAACTATTTATTAAGATGTTTTTGTAAATTTTCTAAAACACTAAATTTTTATTTTTTCATGTTGAGGTCCATGTTATTATTTTATTTTCATCAAATGCTACTGTGACTAAAGTTGATGTCACATGACAACCATTCCATAAACCAGAAAAGGAGAAGGCCATTTAGATTTTACACAAACAAGGCCTTTGGATAAATTAGTAAAACATTTATAATATGGAACCACAACACACATATGGCATCGGCATAAGCCTATAAAATTTGAGTCAAATATGTCAGTCAGTATTTGAGTTATCACCTGGACACACTAAAGGTCGGACATCTTGTAATATCAGATGGATGAACAGACGGATGCACTTTGTTTGGTGGAATGATTTATGCAAGAAAATCAAATACTATACTTTTGTTGGTTTGATGTTTTGACTTCCCATTTGTGCTTCAGGGGATACAGAATGGAAAACACATCATAGAGTACATTTTACATGAGATTATTAGTAAAAAATACCGACTTGGGCAAGGCTATATTAGTAATAACTGACTACAATATCACCTTATATCAGAAATGACCTTCTGCACTTCATTATTGAATAATATGACAACCAGACATCATTTTCCATCATGAATGATGATTTTTCTAATCCCTATTGTTTTCTAGATCTAGATGATTACAAATGATTTACAAGTAAGCATTCACTACTTGTGATAAATATATTAAACAATTAATGGAGCCAGGAAAGCGATCTACAATATGCTGCATATGTTATGAACATGTTATGTTAAAAAAAGAAAACTTGTTGTAGATATAAAGGCACATAAGAGAGAAAGCTTAGCCATGGGGATATTTAGCATCCTACTTGTCTCCCTTTTTGGTTTTCGCAAATTGGCAAAATAAATCATAAAGGTTAATAAGAATTTATTAAGGGGTAAAGTGAAGCAATTTATCTCAGAAATGTCAATGAAAATTATAGTTGAAAAGATGTGAACAAAGTAGCGATGAATAAACTAGGAATGTGTACAGTTAACACTTTTAACGTAACAAGGCACACCTGAACACTATTGTGCTTATAAATAATAAACCTACAAACACATGCCCACAAACTTAAATAAGTCTTTCAGTAATTTGTCTGAATATGTCCTGAGGAGGAAAGTGAGAGGCCACTGCCTGCTTACAGCTGATGACAATATTATACCCTTTTATAGCTATGGTTAAAAAAAGTACGGAAATGATAAGCTTCCTTTAATGATATTTGAAAATATATGATATTTGAAAATACATCAGGAGGCATGAGGACTTCATCTGATAAAAGATACTCAAGCACAAAACATAAAATTAGGTAAAAAATGAAATCTTTCTATGAACAAATGCAGTACAAAGACAAAAAAAAAGCGAGCAAACAATCTAAAATCCATCCCCAGGGGGGGAGATTTCCCAAAGATGACCTATCATATTAGCACGCTCAAAAACAAATTTTATAAACAGGCCTCAATTTGCCATTGAAATGTATCTCTTAATGTTCACTGTAGTTTTATGAGTATTCTCTACAAGTATGGATCGAGTAACTTCAATAGTATTACCATAGGTTTGAAATGATGATGTTGAACTGATGTTACCGCCATTCCCACAATTTCAAATTTAACTTTGTGCATGTGCATCACTGAGAGAGCACATGCTCATGATTGTTCACGTCATCAAATTCTGCAATTTGATTGGAGATGATGCAAGAGATGATGTAATGGGGAATCCCTGAATACAATATGGAAATTTCAAACAAATTAGGAATATATCACGCATTTGGTTTGTTTTATCTTGTCCCTAACCCCCCCCCGCAAAAAAATGTTCAAAATGTGAGCAATAAAATCTGAACCAAGGTATTCACAATTTGAAAGAAGGAGTTTTGTAAGTTACATTTGTAAGTCACTTATTTTAGGTGTTCCTAGGTTGACAGGCCTGCCCAACTAACCGAGCCAGTGACGTGCTGATTGGTTGAGAAAATATTCTAGCATTTGGATTGAACTGATTTATGACCCTGGTGTGATACCCAACACTAGTCAGGGCGATCCGATGCACACTGAACTGTAAAATTGTCTCAACCATTCAACTTCTGCTGTCAGGGTAAACTCAATCAAAATCTTCATGTAAAGTATTCTTCTTTGTGACTTACTATATGTTGACACGCACGAGTAATTTGAATATAAACTAACATAAAGTTATTAAGGTGACTCTTTGACAACAAAGAGCATTTTAATTGAATAACCTTACTTCCCAATTCCCAAAGAAGCCATCCGTAACTCAATTTCTAAGTGGAAATTAGGTCCATAAGAGGACATGCTGCAATCATAAAGTCAATTATTCTGCTTTGCCAAGATACAAGTGACAAGCTTATTTGAAGGTGATATCTGTAGCGATTTTAGAGAAAACAGTTGGATGTATGGACGAACAGACAGATGGATGTGCCAAGGCTGACAATATGGCCCCATATTATTTATTGTCATAAACTAAACTATTATCATACATACATGTAAATCAAAAAAGAGTTTTGCACACGTGTCTAACTGTAACACTTTGGTGCATATTGCATTAAACAAATGAGAATTTGATTACCTTCTAAATTCCAAACTGCAAATTGATATTATCACAGCTCTGGGCCAATAAATGGTGAAAAGTAATTTACCAAAAAAGTATTACATATCACGAAGACAATACTTAAGATTGGAGCTGTCAAATTAAATACCACTTAAGCTTCAAGAAGAGGAAGGATATATCAATTATATGTATTACCCCAAAGCAAAGTGGCACAATGGACATCTTTTAAAAATACAAAATATAGTAGAAAATGATTGATATTGCAAGAAATAAAATACAAATATAAGTAATTAAAACAGTGAATTGCATCAGATGCAAGAAAATCAGACAAATAATTCTAGTTACAGAGAGAAATTAGGATAATTAGCAACCCGAATGGATGTTTTATTTAGAGGATTATTCTTATGCATTAATATACATTTGGGAATTCTGTTTCCTAGATATGTCATTAAAAATCTGAGAGGGAAGTAAACCCTCAAAAGTAACAATAAATACAATCTCTTTTTAATATTCATCTGAGAGTGCTCTATCATTAAGTTCCTGTTTATTAGGAGATTCATTAAGTAGTGTATTTAGATCATGTTGCTCCATGATAGGCAAAATGTGGAAATAATGATCAATGTATGTAATTGATTTGCAGTTAAACTGCATGGGTAGTCTTATTGCCTTACACAATTCTCTTTTTGGCATCTATTGGGTTTATTTCATTAGTAAGTATTTTAGCATATCAAAAGTGTGGCAGACATTTTATCTTGTTATTGCTTGTGATATCCTAAGGGTAGAGTGACCTGAGTTATTGGAAATGCCACTCAAGGCTATCAAGTTTTTGCTGAAATTACAATTATTTTTATATGAAATAAAAATATTGTGAATTAAAATCCTAATAAAATATTCATTACAAATCAGAAAAAGATATGTCAGTAACACAGATTTATTTTCACAAGAATAAAATACAAAACAACATAAAATAAGTATATGTAACTCCATATCTAATACATAAGAAGACTCCTTTCTCAATGCATTCACAATTGAAAATATAAATAAATTCAAGTAGCAAGTGGAAAGTCATTTTAAGTCATTAAATATATACTGACGCAAGATAAATTATGGAAAACTCTGAATAACAAAGATTTGAACTTTTAAATTCAGAATTGGGATGAAAAAATAATTTCTAATATGTGTTGATGTGAGAATGATAAAATGATAATGTTAAAATAGATTGGGATGAGATGAATAATTATAGTTGTCACTCTTCATTACGTATTTAAAAGGCACTTATAGAATCTAACTCTACTAATACCTTCTCTACAGCTACGTGACAAGTGGAACATAATGCAATAAAGCTTGTGATAGATTTAATAAATTGTTATGCTAATGGCTGCTTTCTTACAACTTCAATATTTCAAAAATGGCTCTGTAGGCACCTTAAGACTTCGCAATATATTATAAACTAGAAAAAAAACAGCAACTCCCCAGAGCAGAAAATTCCACCACCACATGACATATTTTATCGTATTCCACACCTACTGAGGTTCTAGTAACATAATGGGCAGGAATATATTTCAAGGGAGCTATCGCCAATGGCTGGGGCCAGGACATCCCAGTCCCACTCTTGAAAAGCAATTGCTTTTTATTCAATTTACGAAATTAAAATTAAAATTCAAACTTATGCTGTACATGTATATTCTAAATGTTAATATCAATCATTGATCTGCTCCAGTAATATATGAGTGTGAAAATGTGTATCTTAAGTACATTTTTGAATTTTGGAACTTCATGAGGTATAAAATACCGAGAACCTCGGGAGGTATGGAATACATCTGTTATGTACAGTCAGTTTTTGATACAAAGTTTATCCCTGCCAACAACATACATCCCTCTAAAATTATACACATATAATTAGCAGTTGATTTATATCATTTCTTATTGAAAATTTCTTCTCGAGCAGAGGTCCTATGCCCACAAAGCACCACCCTATGAATTTGAACTAAATCGATCTATCAGTATTTGAGTTATTGCCCAGACAGATGAACGAACAGACGAATGAATGGACAGATGGGACCTACGTTTGGTGGGTTAATTACACGTGTACATGAAAACAAATTAGATTCTTATCGAACGAGGAGCTGTTGTATGGTGAAGAAGTCAGATATGTTGAATGATCAAGATAGGTATACTAATCTCACTCGTTGAGAAGGTCAACATATCATACCCAAGAGACTTAAAGAAGGAGGCAAACTAGATGTAGGAGTATAGTTTGATTTATGTTTCTCACAGCTGATTCAAGTCATATTATAGATCATTTCCTGTTGAATAATTTACAGTTGGAAAAAATCATCAACTACTACTCAAAGTATCATATTTAAAAAGTATTCTGGATAAGCCACAACTTATGTGCACCCTTTCAAAAACATTTAGCCCTAATTTCAACTGAATTGACAGATTTAGCCTACGCTGAGTATTGACATTTCTATGACCAGTGGATTAAATATATCAAAACCCTAATCATAGAACTAATGTACATTATGTCCCTAGACAAAACAAATCAATGACCATTAATGATATACTGTCCAATGCTTTCTGGTGTTTCTGGCAAGTTTAAAATGATTGGATACTAGGTTTATATAAATCATCTGAATCCCTTGGGAAGCTTGAATGTACGGAATCTCAGCAAATTAATATACTGATAGACAAGGATAAGTATATTTTGGTGGTATGGAACTTTTCCCAATATAATATTTCGTTATATCAACAAAACAAATTATTCTAATTTGGAACAAACTTTGACTTGTGGTCGCTACAGATTTATTGTGCATACTACAAGTACATAATTATGAAGTCTACTGTGATTGCGAACCTGTGAAATTGTGACCGAAACATATTGCGTGTCATGTTAAAAATTATCTGATTGATATTAAGGTGGTTGGTCAACATTAAAACCAAAGTTGCCGTTCGATTGAAGTCGATGCCCCTTGGAGAGGAACCACCTCTCAACCTATCAGGATCATCCACAAATAAAATCTACTCTACTCAACTATGGAAAATGTTAACCAAAAAAAATTATTTACAATTTTGGAATTTAGCGTTCGGCGACCAAGCCCAGAATGAAAACCTATTCAATATCTAAAGACTACCAACCAATCAAAAACCGTCACTCTATTTGAACACAACTTTCTTGTCTTATTAACTTCACTGCACATTAAAGAAAATATTTATATTCTTAAATCACTACGCTCAAACAAATATAAATTATCAGTTTATCTACTCTAATGAATAAACACAAACCCCAAAAAAGGTTGTTTTGTTAGTCAATCTGACTAGAGGCAGCTGATGTTAACGCTCAGACACACCAGAGGAAGCACCCTACCCTTTTTTATCCCCTTGGCACTAGTGCTTATATATCCCTTCACATACACATGTTGCTCAACTGTCCAGTCATATTTCATATAGAGTGAAAAATAAGAATGTAATATTAAGAATGAACATGAGAATTCAAAGGTATTGGAACAAGTATAAGAGTTGTCCTAAAAGGAAAATCCATCCATCTTCTCTGTGTGCTACATGTAAGGTGCCCGCTACACAGAGAACGGGGGTTAGGTTCTCTTTTTTAGAACAACTTTTTCATCTGTTCTGGCGACTGTGTACATGCAAAGATAGTATATTTGTCATACTTATTTATCTGAAATATACAAATCCTTTACAGGTAAAGTATGGGTGTATTTTTCCATTTATACTGTGGTAAGAGGAGGGAAAACCCCATGATTCAATTGATGACATACAATTTCCTCCTTCGCGTACCTCCTTTCTTGGAAGTACGTATATTTGTTTACCCTCCATCTTGGTTTTCAAAGATTTCAAATTGACCTAGTTTTAAACCAATCAACGATCGACTCGCTAAACCAATCAGCGACGATGTTATCTCAATACAGATTCACATTATAAGCGTATGTCATCTTTGAACCCTGGGGTTTCTCCCCCTCTTTACTGTGGTCTTTTCAACTTTTTAACCTATAATGGATCGACCTATTTTTGTATAAATACTAAGAACACCTAATCTCTTAAAATCTACAGGGTGGGCCAAAAATGTTTAAATCATATATCATTGGAAAGACCATTCAATTTCCAACAAAATGATATATAATTTATTTCACAGAAATAAGTATTTGTTTTAAAATAATATTTCCAATACCTTTTCTTCATATGTAAAAGCCTTAAAGTGTTGATTAAGCAATGCAATGTTATGTATTAAGCTCAAAACATAGCGAAATGTTGTTTTCAACTGTTACTACCACATGATACAGAAATGACCACAGAGTCACCAATAGCCAGTCATATTTTATGAATCATATATTACTTTGTTGGAAATTGAATTATCTTTTTAATTTATGGATATTTCTTACATACCAGCGAAGAAAAAAATGGACATTTTTATTGGCTCACCCTGTATATTTAGGAAAATAACCCAGAGCCCTTTTCATTGTCCATTCCTGAATCTACAATCGAATGCCATCTTTAAATCAATGCAATAGTAATATCTTGCAATCGATGGATGTAGAATACAGTATCTGTCTAATCTAAAATAGATGGCAGATGTTACATTGTACAATAAACTGTTTTATATTGTATGCATTTCTACTTCTTTGTGAAAGAAAACAAAAAAACTTACTTTGATCACAGTTTTTTCCAAATTTGTTGTCCTTTTTGCAGAGTTGACAAGCTGCACCACGAAAATTTACGTCACACATACATGTACCATTGCCTGAATACATCCCCTCTAGGCACTGCAGTAAAAAATTAAAGATCTGTGAACATAATCTAATGTGGATTTCTATCCACAGTGGTAATTATTCTGACTGTGATTTCTTTAAAAATTTTATTAAGAATATGAATCCCTAGCAGTGAGTGTGTCTTGTTAATGTATTGGGTTACCATGGCAACCATGATTTTGTTAAATCAAATACTTGAGTCATTAATCTTATATAATATTTGGGGAACATCCGTACCAAGTTACAAGATCAGTAGTTTTAATCATGCTTTTTATCACCCAGGATACTAATTCAACTAAGAAAGTATACTATGTATGCATTATTCTAAAATAAATCATTTTTATCATATTCATTAAAAAAATAAAAATATACCTTCCCATTGTTGTTACAAGGGGTCTTGAACCCCCCAGGACAAGGCATGCAATCTGTTCCAAAGAACCCAGGACAGCATTTAAGGATGGTATATGATCGTTTACATTGAACATAGCATCCTATATAAGCCCGATATTGACCTTGACCCACTTTACCCCAATACCTGCACCCTCCTTTGGTTTTATTCTGCAAACCAGAAAAATCTCAGATTATATAAACAATATATACAGTAGTAAAGGCTAAGAAAATCAAACATCAGGTCATCAAGATTAATAGAAATAAAAAGATCTCAACATATGACATTTTATGTATAGATCACTGAAGTAATGGCAATCATCTTCTCAAAAACAATAGAGCAATAAAAAGGAGTACAAGCACATAATACTTACTGTTGAAACATCATGTCTTGATCTACAGACAAGTGGCTCATCACAAGGTCCACATTTTCCCATTACAACTACTGTATTATCAATGTCACATCTACTTGGAAGTAATGGAAGAATAGCCTTAGGCATTATTACACCATTCACATGATGGTATATACCATTGCTTGCTGGTATGTCACTCTCCACGATTGCAGAATCTTGCTCAATGGTGATAAGGCCCTGGATTTTAACATTAATGACATAGTAGATGTATATTTATGATATAGGTTCTTGCTTTACAATGTAGTCTCAATAAAGTTATAATTCATTTCTGTTAAACCAGACACATACATTGTACGAGGGGTGATTCAAAAGTAATGGACAGAATTTTATAGGCATACTAAATTTCACCCAATCAGTCTAATTTTTTCACAGTGAATAGATCAATCAATTCTCTACTTTGTGTCGATTTCTCATTTAAATGCATTTGAAATTGTTTCAGCTATGTGTAACCATGGTAACAAGGGTAAGCATGGGTGGAATTGGTTTTTTAATGATAATTGAATGTTTTTGTCATTTTTGCTTGATTTCGTTTTAATGACTCAATTACCACACATGATATGTCTAACAAGCATGGTAATGCAATTGTCAAGCAAGACTCACATGTAAAATGCGACCTAAATATGAAAAGGGTGTATGCCAAGTGGATTCCTAAGCTTCTTACCGAAGAACAAAAGCAACAACGTGTCGAAGTTGCGCAGGATTTTCTGAAGCAATACAACAATGAAGGAGAAGGATTCCTAAAGCGTATAATCACTACTGACGAATCATGGCTATACTTTAGAGATCCAGAAACTAAACTACAATCTACACAGTATATCAAAAAGGGTGAGCGGCGCCCAACAAAGGCTAGGCAAAGCAGATCCTCTGACAAAGTGATGATTGTTCCCTTCTTCGATTATGATGGCGTGATCCTGACCCACTATGTTCCTCCTCATCAGACTATCACAGGGAAATACTTCACCAAGGTAAACATGATATTTTCATCCGTTTTAATCATTGTCAATTTAAAAGGAGAGAATGAAGTCATAATAGCTTTAAGCAAGATTAATAATTTGAAAATAGATAAATAAATAAATGAATGAATAAATAAATAATGATATTTCACTTTCAGGTTCTAGAATGCAATCTTGGACAGGCACTTCAAAAGAAAAGGAAAGACACAAGAGACAATCGTTTGTTACACATGGACAATACCCCAGCACACAGGTCCAAGCTAGTTCAGGATACTCTTGCAGCATTCATGGACATGCCTCAACTTCCACATGCTCCATATAGCCCTGATACTGCTCCTTGTGATTTCTATCTTTTTCCCACCCTTAAGATGGCATTAAAGGGACAATCCTTTCAGACATTAGCTGAGCTGCAAATGGCTGTACAAAAACAGCTGAACACCATGGCTGCTGGATGGATTTGGGCATGTGTTCTCTGCATGGGTGCGCCGACAGAAGAAAGTAATTGAACTTGGAGGAGAATACACTGAGGATTGAATATAATTCAAATGAATGATCATCAGGAATAATAAGGAATGATATGGATTATTATTGAACTTACTGCGATATGCTTTTCATATACATCTTGCATTGCAAAATATATTGCACCAGCAAACTTTTCATTGAAAATCCATTTGTTATTATGATGAAAATAGCCTTAAAAATGGATTCCGGGTGTATGCACCATGATCCAAGAGAAGTGCTCTATCTCAAAATGTATTTGCAATTAGTTAATAAAATTTTGTCCATTACTTTTGAATCACCCCTCGTACATGTATCCATAAGCAATCCTCTGGGTGTCTTATGGTATACTATCAGTGTATGATATTTACAAATGATGAAAACAATTGAATTGAACTGAAATTGAATTACTGAAAATTTATAGACATGTTCAGGACCAAAATAGTTATAAGAATAAAGGTTTGAGTTATGGCTCCATAATATGTACATTATGATTTAATTCAAGCTCCTCTTATTTTCAATGATTGTTATAAGTTGATCTGCCTTATCAACTGTATTGTCTGCAATTTAAGTTTTATACACTGAGAGAGGTAGCATATTTGTGCTCCAGAAGCAATGGTTTACACACAAAGGCCTTTTACTCTTTACAATTATGTTTCCGTTGTACCTTGAGATGCAGTCCCACATTTGGCAAATATGAGTGTGACATGTACATATGTATATAATTTGCATAGCGTATCAATTTCCCAAAGGCTTATATTTGCAATTCGGGTCAGGAAAATAACAATGCGTGACAATGAATATGCCCCTCCCATCTCTATCTTTATATAAATCCAAGTTTTACCTGTGTCTGAATCTGTACATTGAGCATCACTCCCCCAATGGTGGTAAATGTAGATTGCATCCCAGAAACTAAGTCTATTGCACGAATGGTATCATTCATTATATGGCACTGCAGCAGCTGAATCAGCTTATCCTTACCCTATGAAATATTTTCAGAAAGCTAAAGGATGTTAAGCATTTACTCTGGCATTTAATATATGATTATAAGTTCCTCACATTTTGACATTCATTTCAAATTATAATGGGAGATACTCTATAGATTTATAATCCTGAATGCATGACATTAATCAGTTGAAGAAACAAGATTTTAGGACAAAACATCCAAATGGTCACCTTAACATTTAATCAAGAATGCCCAAAAGTAATTGGATTTAGATTTTCATACAAGGAATCATCCCTGACAATTTGAAATCAATCCATCAAGTGGTTAGCCTGGTTAACCCTTTTTGACCTTGAGAAGGTCAGTGAAGGTCACATCTCAAATCTAAAGTCAGCTTTGACCTTCTGAGAACTTGTAGAAGAATTTTGAAGTCAGTCTAAACAGTATTTGTTTGGAAGTTGTGAGAATTTGTTACAGCCGCCAGCCGCCATCTGCAATCACAAAAAACGAATTTAAACTGAAGACAGAAACTGAAAACAAACCTCTGGTGAATACAGGTACTGTGTGTAATCCTTGGGTAGTCTATCCCAAGCTTTGTTATTTGGAGCAAGTACAGTGTAAGGCCCTGTCCCCGACAAGAAGTCACCAAATCCAGCAGCCTACAACATAAAAATTATTAAAAGGTAAGTACAATTTGTTCCAACTACAAATCCAAATAAAAAAAAAAAATATTCATTATCAAATCATTCCATTTTGATGAACTTGTTCATGATACTATAAGTTATAACCAGGCAGCTTAAGTTTCTATTTCTAAGTTCTTATATAAAGTGCCTCTAAATTGTAAAATAATTGAAATTACATAAACACTATAAACACTCACAGTTAACAATGCTTCAAATCTGTTATATTTTCCATCATTTTTGATGCTTTCAGTGAGTGTTTTCTACAATAAAATAATATTATGTACTTTATGTTCATGTTGATTTGTGTATTTTATGTGTATCTGTTAAGTTTAGTCTATATTTAATATCACTAAGAATAATATTACATAAAAAACAAAAAAGTATTCAAATATATTTTTAATCAACAGTACTATATTTTTATATTTAATTTATTATGCTGCTTTTTAAAGTAATTTGAAACTATGCATATTTTTAAATATTAAAGAGGCTAAGACTGCTTCTCCTTAAAAATGCTCACCTTTGATTGAGAATTGAACCAGGACACATCTCTACCAGTCTGAAAACAATTATATTTCAACTTAGAGCAACATATATTTTGTTTAGTTTACAAGAATGGCCCTAACGGAACAATAATGATGACATACAGATTTAGAAATAAGGTCCACAGATATTGAATTAGATTTAGAATGAAATGCTTTCTTTTCAGCTGAATATGATAAGAAAAACTGCTTCCCAATATATTAAATGTCTTTTAATTTGAATAACTAAGAATGAAACAAACATATCCCCTTCAATCATTGAACCAATATTCTATGTATTTATTGGACAATTCTGCGAAGTATTATTTCATATCAACATTTTGGGAATTACTCATACCATGGGTTTTCAACAGACTACATGTATTCACTCCCATCATTCACCAGTAAAATAACATGGGCCCACTTTCTAAATGCCCTTTGAATAGTGAAAATATGTGCATTCAAATAATAATGTTATTTTGTCATTTTAAAAATTATTCAAGATTGTTCGGCCCAGTTTTTTTGCGTCAACAAGCAAATAATTTTAACATGCTTTTGGTTGCCATGCTACATTGTGCATGCTTGCCAACCGATCAATTATTTGAACCAGTATATGTCAGTGCAATAAAAGAATACACTATAATATAGCATTTTGTCAAAATCAATGAATACTTACAGGAAGAACATATTTATCCACAATATGAATCAGTCCATTTGAAGCCTGAAAATTCCCTGCTAGAATTGTCACCTTATCAGCCTGACTTTGACCTTGAAGTCGATATCTTACATCATCCTAAAATTATATCGATCAATTTTTAAATTAATATTTGAGGATCTAGCTTGCATAACTTGCTTTTTTGGGCTAAAGGATCAATATTTGTATAATATATTATAAATACTATAACATGATATATACAATTCTCCAAACAATGAACCACTTCATTTCAAAACTTAACCCAGCTAGTGTAAAGGATGAAAGGCAAGTGCCTCTAACAATTGTACATTCCTTAACCACAAAAAAGGCAATATTCCAACAACTGTCACAAAATATTTCAATTCAGATTACATCTATACATATTAGTGCTACAATGTACAAAGCATTAACATGCAAAATGCCACCACCTGCCATTTTTCACAGATGTTCACCACCAAGCACCAACTTCCAAACACCGACAGCCAAACACCATGCACAAAAAGTTGGAGACTTAACAATACATGTATATCACCACTTCTGGTGGTGACATAAAAAATGAAATAAGAAAATATATACTGTCAGAATATTCATATAATGAGAATAATGGCCAACTTTTGGACATACCAAAACACAAGTCCAGACTAAAATACAACTGACCTCTTTAACATAAATCTGTGCAGGGGTGCCACTCAAAGAGTAGAAACTGGACTTGTTCTTCAGACTTTCGACTGCATGAATTCCAGGAACAATGTTTGTGTTAGCAAGGCTTTGTCCAAACTCTCTTTCACGTAGAAATTCAGCTAGCTAAAATATTTGTTTGAAGAAACATAAAGAACATTACATCTACTACATTCCTGAACCAATTCTTGATTGACTGAAGCAATCATAAAGGACTAAGAGTGTGGAATGTTGTTTAAGCATTCTTTCCAAAATCCTGCCAATGTTTTTAATACAGCACTATAACATGTGAGTTATAGTTATTGATATGAAGAGATGTCTTAGTTCATTAGAATTGAAATATCTTCATTAACTAACCAGTTAATATGACAAAGTGTGATAACCACAGAAGTCAATGCTGCTGGCAACAAATGTCAAACACCAGTCACAAAATGGTGGCTGTTGATATATTTCACTTCTTGGTGATGACATAAAACAATAGAATTCAGTCACTGCACTGAAATATTTTTGAAAATCATACCAAAGCTTACCTTTCTGCTTGTTGAGATATCACTGAAGTATGGCTTTATCAGTGGTACAAACACCGTAAATGGCCCCTTTGATTGCAAGCCCTCTGGGTATACAGTACTAAATAGATTTTCTGAGAAAGTCAGTTTTTGAGCATAGGAGGTATCCTCAAGATTAATCTCCTTGATGCGTTCTAAAATGTTTCCATAACAGTAGTATCCATCACCAAAGTAACCGTCATTACATGTACAACTAAAAAAAAACATTAGGATATCATGTGGGCAAGCATTAAAACCAGAAAAGCTTTATATGTTATAAAATGTCATTGAATAGGTAATTTTCACAATTTAGCAAAATTTACAAGCATTCTGAACACTCGATCATTGACTGTTTCATTAAGCCCTTTTCTGAGCTGCCATAGCAATTGATGTTGCATGTAACAAAATGATTTCGCTTGCCTAGGAAAAGTTCTATTTATGTATCACCCTTCAAACATTTTACTGAAATACAAAAAAATAACTTGCCTCATTACATTTGGGGCCACTGTTGTGCAATTGGCATTCTTGTCACAATCACTGCTATTTGTCAGACAAATATCGATCAAGCTACATCCAATGCCATCTATATATTCTTCATATCCGAATGAACATTCACAGTGGTGCTAATTTTAAAAATAAATACAATTTTTAATCATTGTTTGCTCTCATTTTTATATCAGCAGCATATGAATAAATATCATAGCTATTGTGGCATAAATCATTGACTTTGCAGTTTTCTAATTTCATAAACATGTTATATGTATTAAGTAAATATGTAAGTCCAAGGGGAAAGAGTAGAGTATTACAAAAAGCATGAAAAAAATAATCATATACAATTTACTTTTACTTTTAATTTACTTTTATTAATTGATTTGATAACTAGTGTTATTGATTCTTGAATTATGTTCTAGTGATTTCTCTGTTGATCGAGTCTCATTTGACAATGCTTCTTTGTATGTTTAATAATCACAGGTAGGATGTTGGGGCTTGTTTTCTTATCATTGAATGTTTACTATATTGTTAATGGTATAATAGTTAAATTTTCAAATTCCATATTCTGGATTTTTTTTATTACAATCAACATTTACATGGATGTTGTTGATTTAAAATTGCTAACTTACCAATCCAGGTCCATCATGGAGACACTTAGTAGTATTTCTAGGACACTGACCATGGTTTGTTGCACATGGGTTGATTGGTTGACAATACTTCCCATCACCCTCATAGTTCTTTAAACAATCACACTTATACATGTCTGGGCCAGTATTAGTACATAGAGCTTTGTCGTGGCATGGTGACCTCTCACAAGCATTGATTGCTAGAGCAGAAGATTGACAATGTATATGGTTCATTTACTTTCATTTGAAATTTCATGTTGAGAATAAAAAACATACAGATTAGAATACTCATCTGATTAATTGTTATATGTGTTATATGTATCAGTTTTATAATATTTTAGCAACAAGATGTATCAGAGAGACCTATAAATAAGTTTTCTAGTATAGGCCTGTCATACTACATAAGGCCTTTCTACAAAATCGAGGCAACACTACATAATTTCATAATTTTACATGTCCTGTATGTGTATCATACCACAATTCTACAAATGCTAATTAAAAAACATCATACATTCATGCGGTATCTATAAACAAAACATTAGGACAATATGAAGTATAACATACGTGTGCAGCCACCAACTTCTGTTCCATTGCCCTCATAACCATGTTTACAATTGCAAACAGCCTTCCCTCCTTTAGATTCACATTTGGCTAAAGCATGGCAAGTGATATTAGCACATCCTGAAATCACTGTAACAACAATAACCATTTAAGTAATGAAACATGGATATTGTTATGGAATTACATGGTAAGTAGAATGGTTATTACAAAATGGATAGTGTTAGACTTATTCCTGGATCCATCAAACAACATTTCAAACAACAAACCATTCTTAGGATTGAAAGACAAAAACATTCAAAGCATTAATATAATACAAACAGAAATCTAGCAAACAATTATACAATTGAGATGTAAAAGATCTTGATGTTAATTCTACAAATACGAATTAAAAAACATCATACAATAATAAAATCAAAAAGAAACAATAAAAAACATCATACAAATCAGATCTGATAAAACTGCATCTACAAGGTTATGTGTTACACAACTTACATTGATCACAGATCTCGCCAGTGTAGCCAGAGTGGCAATCACATTTCCCTGTACCATTCAAACCTGAGTCACAATCCCCATGGATACATGCACAAACTGGAAGCATAAACAATGATTATGTAAATGCATCAATTCAATCTAACAGCTGGATTGGATATGAGCAAGTAGAGGATAAGTTTGAAAATATGTCAAAACAAAATTAATTCAACTCTCAAATTCGCAAGATATGATTATGCATCTAAAAATTAGTTCTGACTTTTGGTTTATATCATGATAGTCCTCATAATTTTAAGGGATATTCCCTTTATCAATTCTAATGAAAATATATATAGAGTGTACTTATACTTGTACTTGGGCATAACACTCAAATGACAAAAGGCAACACTAATAAATGTACAAAGTATCATGTACATCAATCTCAGCTAGACAACAGTTCCTTTCATAATTGATATTTCTCAAGTTGCTCTATTCTGATATCATATACAACATTGATATATTCATATGCAACATTGATATATTCATATGCAATATTGATATATTCAAATGCAACATTGATATATTCATATGCAATATTGATATATTCAAATGCAACATTGATATATTCATATGCAACATGGAGCAGACAACAAACCTTGAGAACATTCTTGGCCAAATGTATTGTTATGTTTACACATTTCACATGCAGTCCCTCCAAAGCCAGACTGAAATAACATTACCAGATTTTCAATTTAGGAAAAATTTATTAACTTAAAGTTAATAAGTCAACTCAAATTACAAGAGTTTTGCAAATCTTCAAATATATAACATGCAATAAAGTGAGAAATTCTTAACAAAGGTGTTGCCTGTTCTGTCAATTCTGATTAATAATTGACAGTATGGATTATAATTAATATACATGTATGTCTTATAACCTCTACTTTCAGTCATCTAAAACGATAAAGAAAATAGCTAAAAGTAAATCCCAGTGAACAAAAAATATTTTATCAAACCATTAATCATTTTTAACATTTCAGATCATAGAAATAATAACCAGGTAGAGATTCCATCTTAAGTAGAATTCCCTGATCTGACAATCCAGATTCAACAACTTTTAATGTCTTATCAGAAAAATTATTTTTCTTGTAAAAATTTATTGGCAATTTTGAATTCAGCAATCATCTCGAAACAGCCTGTATGTAAGGCATCAGCTCATAAAATCTTGAGTTTATTTGAATTTAATTCTTACAAAAAGTGAAATGTCTTACCATGCAATGACAAGTCCCATCCCCTTTCATGCCATCTGAACAAGTGCCTCTGTTTGAACACACCTCGCCATTAGTTTGAGGACAGTCTGCAATTAAAAAAATTTCTGCTTTGGAAGGGAATGTGTGTCATTCCTTTTACGAATTCAACAAGAATATTTAATTGACTATAATGAATATTTTAGAATAACATAATAAGGTTTTATATTTACATAGCTGCAGTATATAATCTACATACACTGTATTGGGTGTCCCCAAAAAGTGATAAATAATGACAAATAATTAATCCTGTCACTAAGGACAGGATTAATTATGTCATGGGAAGCGATATTGTTGAAAGAAATACAAAAAAGCATTTCTGCTTGGAAAAACAGAAAGTAACTTTCAAACTGAAATAAGTGACTTTTCCATTGATATTGGATATTTTGCAATACCGTGTTTTTTTTTATCTGAAAATACTCAGATATTAAGTAACCAATGTCTTTCATTTAGTTCCACAAAAAAAACGTTCAAAGAATTCAGCTTATCCATTGCTGAGAAAAGAGGTTCACTTTTTTTGGAACACCCAATGCTATACAAAGCTGTCTAATAAATACAAACACTTACCCTCACACTGATCACCCCACATGCCATCACAACAGTCCATTACCCGCATTTTCTTTCTGCATACATGTCGACACCCTAACATTCCTTCCGTTTTGGGACGGGGATTTTGTTGTTGTAGACGTCTCCATATGGGATATAGTAGATCATGATTATATAGAAGATCAAAAGGACGTGAAAATCTAGATGCTGATTCCTGTACTACATGGCAATCCTCTTGGCGACCTGTTTGAACAGAATCTCGTGGGCAACTTTTTTTTGAATACCGACAAGGATAAACACAATAAGTTGACCGGAATTCTATGTTCTGATATTTATAACAAAATCTGTTTTTTGTACTGTTGCTGTTGTTGCTGCCACTGTTAGTACTACTAGTTTGCGCTCTAGCAAAATCCATACATACAATTATCACACATGTAAATATTATCCCAATGATATAAAATTGATGAAACATTTTGATTCTGAATCTGCTTGACAATACAACATCCAACAATAATCATCTGTGTACTATTACATTAGATTATAGTCCCCACTTGTTTAAATTTTGGTATTTAGAATTTCACACCTTATGATCCTTATTTCAAACCTTACAATGAGCATCTAAAAGTTAATGTGCCAAACTAACATGTCCAGCTATATAATTCAAAATCAAGAAGTAATATGATATCATGTCCCTCAAATATAATATATACAGTATGGGTCATATTGTAATATGCTGAGTTAAGAATGGTAGATTTATCAAGGAATACCATTTAAGGCACAATATCAAACCCTTTATTGGAATATATAAATGAGAATCAGACATTGATCGTACTGAAAGGTTACATGAAATATATGGAGATGGAATTGAGTTTGAAAAATGGGTTCATTTGTAGGAAAACCATACTTGGACACTACTGAAGAGCATCCTGTTGATTGCTTATCCACAACCTTTTTCAAACAAACAAAATTATGTCAATCCAATTAGCAGTCTAATTAGCAAAGGATATTGAGGAAACAGAAGCTGTTCTCTTGAGATAATACCCAATCATACCTCTTCAATTTATTCTTATTTACTTTTATTTACATTGCTGCACTGCTTGTAATGCAGGAATTCTAAGAGAATGACATAACCATACAAATAATAATTGTTTTGTACATTCACACAAATGATAAATCAAATTTCAGCCAATATAAGAACATGGAATTTAAAAATATACATTCTAAAGGAGTGGTATCGATATGGAGAACTTTTTGAACACAAGTTTCTCTTAAACCAGTCATAAAAAAATCTAAAAATTTTACACATCGTTTAATGGTCGGTCATCTTTTGAATGCTAACAATATAATTTGAAAATATATATATACTTTCATCTATATTGTTTAGAAAACACATCAAACACATGTTTTCAGAGTGAAATTAAACATCTTTCCAAACCTCATAAACAAAATGACATAAACACAACATGTTTAGGTCTCTCTATATTGTAATTGTTCAAAAGAAATTTTGGTTGATTTAAAAAAAGTATCTTGTTAATGAAATAAAAGGGTTATCTTAATTTTTATATATTTTGGGGGGATTTTGTTTTAATTTTTTGAATACTTTTTTAAAATCAACCAAAAATTCCTTTGTATAACTATAATATTGAGAGGTCTAAAAACATGTTGTATATGCTATTTTGTTCCAACAAGGTTCGGAAAGACATTTTATTTCATTCTCAAGAATTGGTAGAAAGGAGCAAAAACAATTGCACTAAAAAACAAAAAATGTTCACAAAAACAGTTATATAAAATATTTCTAAAAAGTTTTCGCAATAAATTGTTGTCAATCAGTCAACATTATATAAAATACTGTGTTTTTTACGGAATGTTTTCAATGATTGGTTTAAGAGAAAAACATTGTTGAATTCAGTTCTCCATATCCTTTTACAATGGAGTGAATGACTATTATTATTTTAAAATTCAGTGAACCTTATTACTTTGAATTGACAGTTTATTGAAAAATGATATATTGTAGTTTCATAACTTATTGCAAGAAAGGTGCTTATGGAGGTAAAAATGTCAAAAATTAAAATCTTGCACCCTTGCAAAATGTTAATGGTTAATTCCATTCTTTTTAACAGTATTTTACAAAATCTTTTGCAATGTTTAAAAGGGATTCCAGCACTGACTCAATGAATTGTGGGTTATTCAATGCAGTCACTTCTTGTATCCTAGCTTTGGGAATTTGGGCTACCACACTCATTCAGTCTTAATATAAGCACATCTATAATCCCTTCAGCCGCCAGCCTTAAACCCTTTAAAATTGCAAGTTCTTAGTATATTATCATCCAAGTTGCGTATCATAGTAGTCTGTAATTCTGTTCCTAAATCGGCCCAGCCCAAAATGATGTTATGTAGTAAGCTCAGTAGTATTCACATACCAAATATGAACAAAATCGCTCCACTACTTTTCAAGTCACAGCAAAAATCGTAAAATAGCGTGTAAAGGTCGCCATTTTTCAACATGGCTGCCATGAGCATCTTCGATATCTACATTTCTAGCTTAATAAATGTCCTATATAATTTTTTCACATTTAAAACATATTGCTATTACAATTTTACCTTAATTACGGAAAAATCTGCACTAACATGGCCACCATTTTTAAATGAGTGGCCATTTTGAAAATTAGCTTTCGAGCAGATCTTCCACCCCCATTGGGTATATGTGTACAAAATATGAACAAAATCGGGCCAATGGTATTTGAGTTAATGACTGGACGGACGGACGAACAGACATATGTACGTACGTAAGGAAGTACTTACGAACAGATGGACAGAGGCGTTCCCTATATCCCTCTGAACTTTGTTCGATGGGATAACTTTAATATATCATTCAAACATAAATTCTTGCAACCTTGCATGACTTCAATTCATTTTGTATCAATCTTAATTCAAACCAAACATCAACGAATACAAACATTTGTCAATATTCTACCAACCTTTCAAACGTTATCATTTAGAATTTTGAAAATAATTCAGTCTTGCTATTTGGTCTGTCACAAAAAGATATTTATAACAGTTGTACAAGAGATTTGATAAAGTTATAAAACTGGTCAATAATCATACATAAATGCAACATATAAATTACAAATACCTATTGATATGCACAAAAATGCAGAGTAAAATAAAGTCCACGATTGCCATTTGGTCAATGTTTTTAGATTTGAGCAACCAGAAGTGCTGGATGCAACTGATGATGATGTCATAAACATAGTTGTGGCTATTCTATGTTGCCCTGTAAGAACTGAAGCAGGAATGTAGCCACCTTTTATACACTTATTTGTGATCTCCTGAGGAAGAAAGTCACTTGCTATACGAACAAATAACTGACCAGCTTGTTTTCCACATCGATTTTCCAGGGCTTCAGATCCACATTTGAACATTTTTGTGATTATCCTGAAAGTGAAGAAAGTAAAATTCTCAAAGTTTTAGGTAACAGCATGATCACATGTTGAACACTAGATTATCAGGAAACAATAAGAATATCTCCAAAACTTAGGATACTTTTAAAATATATCATGGGAAAAATAGAAAAAACAATAAATAAAAAAATGATTATATGTATAAGTTCTTGATTACATTGGATGCCATGTAATGATTCCATCCTTAGAATTGTTTTTATGGTTGAGTATTAAGCAATGATGTAATCCTGTACAAAACAGCAAGTCCTTCAAATACAAAACTAGAAAATGGCAACTCCACAGAGTAGCAAATCCCAACTAACACTATATAAATCATGAATCTGTACAATTACAATGTAATATTTACTATCTACTCTTCCCTTCAATAAATATTTGAGCGCATTGTAGTATTATGTAACCATACTTTCAAGATAGCTCTAATTAATGGCGAATTTCCGCTCTAGGTAGCCATCTACTCTAAAATTCTTTCAATTTGAGTATAATATGGCCATACTTTTAAGAGATCAGAAAATAATTGCAAAATCCCAAACTACTCTAAATTGCCTTTCATTTGAGTATAATAAAGCTATACTTCATTGACATCTAAAAATTAATGCAAATTTCTGTCCGAACCCCCAAACGGCCCCTGGGGGTCATGGTGAAAAACATGGGATATATTTGAAATAGATAGGTGTTGAAATAGATAGATAAATTTCCGCCATTTTTAAACTGGTGGCTTCTTGAAAAAAAAATTTCCCGTAACTGACTGACTGACTGGCTGACTGACTGATGGATGAAGGGCTTCACTATATCCCTACTGAACTTCATTTGTTGGGATAATAAAGCTGTTCAACACATGTACATATTGTATTTTTGTGTACACCAATGGAAGTAAAGTTCCCTGCGTAGCATAATCAAAATGGGCCATTTCATTCTTAGCGACCAAACAAGTTGATATTCAGAATTTACACAACAGTTATTTAAAATTTCAGTAATGTAACTTATGTGGTTACATCTACATTCAAAATCCACACATGATGTTTTTTCAACACCTTTATGGCTTGCCCATAACACTAATCGGGGATTTTTTCTTTTTATACTTTAGCCGCACCTCTTATGTTATCGTATACGTCTACGTACTTTAAACATTGAAATCAATCACATATGTAAAGTCTCACCTGCAAAGTTTTTCCATGGAACCATCATTTGATGTAGAAAATTCACTTTGTATCTTCACATGTTTGAAAGCCTTTTGAGTTCTCACCAAACAATTTTGAGTGTAGTTCTGATTGTCAAACAGGCATTTGGCATTCACTATATAAGCTGTAATATAGTTTTGAAGAAAAATGAACATTAATAATACGCCATGCTCATGCCCAGTGATCGGAAGATTTGTCCAGCTTGGGGGAGCATGCTATTTTTCATAAAAACACTAAGAATACTTCATAAATTATTTTTTAACTCATATGTTTCGTTATACCAAAGAAAATTAACTATTCCACGACATGGGTTTAACTGAATTTTGAATATTTAATGAAGTAAATCAGGATTATTTCTACTCGCATCTAGTATATTGAAATATACCAAACATTTAGAAGTATGGAGCAATTAAGAAGGGTTAACCCAAATAAATATATATTACCATTCATAACTCTTTCTTCTCCACAGAATTTGATGACTCCTTGGCGAACTACCTGTTCCAAGAATATGTTCAGCTGTTCATTTTCATGTTTTGTGGGAGGCTCACACGTGTTCTGCTTTTCTTTAAGACACTTCATTCCTTTTTCATACAAGCTGCAATGAATTCACATTATCCAGTAAAGTACATTGTTGTACCAAGCAATTTCATTTGGACAGACTGTTTCTGACATCCATCTTATGTTCAAGCATGTTGGTCATAACTAAATGCCCTGCTAATATATTACCCTGTTGCCCAGTTGCTTCATAAAATACCAAATGTGAAGGAGGAAACACACGAAATGCTTAAATTGATGGTCAAACTGGCCTCAAGACAAATTCTAAAACTCAATGACGTGTCGCAAAAAGGTGGCGCATTTGTTTTTTAAGGGTATCGCGTGAATGTAACTTTGATTCTCCGGATTATAAGATAATATTCTAATTAAAGTTATATATCATTTTAAAGCTGTTTCGATGACGTTTTTAGATCAACTACACTCCGTTCACGATTCTTGCGCGTTCTTTTTTAAAAAAGAGTTTTTTACCAAAACATCTTGCAAATATCCCCTGTTGACATGTTACATTTTGTATTATTTTTCGTCTTTAAACGCTCATAACTCAATCAATATATGACTATTATACTTATTTTCGTCTTGATAAAAGAAGATGGAAGTTTTATTTCAAAGGATGAATTTTAGTAAGCATCCCATATTGTGACGTCATAGAATTTGAAAAATAGAATCTGTTGACAGCGACCTTTTTGCTCATTTTTTGTTACCTTCAACTTTTCAGGTGTACATTAAACAAAAAATACGAGATCAATTTTTAATAAATCATATATGATTATTTTGCTCTTAAACTCTAGTTTATTAATAAATAGTTGATTTTGTTCGCAAAAGTATGTGTTTTCCGTTGTATGTGGAAAAGTGGAGGACGAAAGGTTTTCAAAATTCATTAAAATAGGGCTAACTTACGCCATTCGCCTATTTTCAAGCACAGCAACACGTATATTTATTTCACCTAAAATATCAATTGATTCGTATTTTATGATGCTCCTATCCCATTGTTAATACATATACGATATCAGAGTTATTCGCCTTAAATATTTTGAGATATAGAGGCAAATGTGGAGGACGAAAGGATTTCCATATGTGTACATTTTTCTCAAAAAACGTCACATTTTGTGGTGTTAAAAAGCGAAAATGTGTAACAATGCGTGTGCGACCTTTTTGCGACACGTCAATACATAAATAGTACAGTGGGTACTGGGATCACATGATGTAAATTTTGCAGATTTCTTTTACATAAACTTACTATTCACGGTAGCATAGGTTTTTACAATACAGGATCTGAAATTATTTATAAGGCTACTAAATAGTAGTAAAGTAAATTTTCCCCAACTGAAAATGGCCAAAAGTGATTTTTGCACAAAAATGAAAATAGCCTAGCTTTTGAACTAGGTGTCATATGATTTTCTTGAATTGGTTATTAACATAAGTAACGTAAATCTAGAATCATATCAAAAGAGGATTTGCTTGAAACCTGTAGACAAGCCTTCATAGACAAGATTTTATGATGGAAATCCCAAAGTGGCTGACAATTAAAATGTAGATATTTTTGCTGATTTTTCACAAAATTATCTCATAAAACTTACAGTGACATGGGCTTTTACAATGTAGGACACTTGAAATTATTTATAAAGCTAATTGGTCGAAAAGTGAATTTTCTGCAACTAAATTGGTGGCCATTTTGAAAATAGGCAAGCTTTTGAAACGGGATTCATAAGGGGGTTCTGTATTGACGATGAACCAAAATAACTTAAAATGGGAACCCTACTGACCCAAGCTTTAAACCAAGTAACTTATTGTTTACAGACAGATGGACATGTGAGCTAAAAACAATAATACTTGTATATTTACCTGCATATTTCTCTTATGGCTGTTATCTCATCATTGGCACCACTGAGGACATCATTCTCTGTTAACTCAGTAACACCTTCCAACACAGGTATGAAACATGCCACAATGGATCCAAGACTATAACACCCCTTTCTTAGACCATTCACAACACTACAACTGCAAACTAAAAAGGGAAAAATTAATGGAATATCACAATGAATATCACAATAAGGAAATCCATATACATGTAGCATTTTACAAGTGAAAGTCCCATCCCCCAACCATCAACTTGTTGTGAAAAAGCAATGAATCTTATTAAACCTAAGGTAGACACTGTGGCCAAAAGGAAAACATTAAATGAGCTCAGAAAAACATTTTTTGAACATTGGTTGAACCAAAATCATGTATATGACTTTCATTGTAGAATTTTGCCAGTATGTGAGGTTGTCAATTAATGGAAATCCAGGCACAAAGGTGGCCTTGCTAGACACAACGTTACTTTGAAAATTTATCATCTAAATAATCAGATTCATACTGACTTTCAACAGAACCAACCAATTTTAAATTAACAGATTGCCATAAAGTGGCTCAGATGATTTTCATTCAAGATGGTATTTTATTTTTACAAATTGCTATTTGATGATGAAAAGTTTAAACAATCAGAATAACTTACCTAAGTATAATAGGAAGAACGTCTTCATTTTGTACAATGAATCCAATTTGATGAACCAGATGATAAAAATATAATAGTAATAATAATATGATATACAAAATAATCATATTCTTATATACTGAATCGTGTTAATGAAAGGTGTTAATGAATGTCAATAATGAAAGTGTTGACAAAATTGTACAAGAACACAAAGTGCACAAAGTGTAGCCATCTAATTCAAATTTTAAAATAATTATTAAGATGACATTCTACCCATGTTCATCAAAACTATATGGATATATTAGGCTGGTCAACTTTTCTGAAATTTTGATTGTAGGTCTAGGGGTATTTCAGTTGTACACAAACTGAGCAGGTCAGTGCCATTCGTATTCGATTCCAGATGTATGGTTTTCTTTTAAATTCTTCATGGGTTTTTAAGTTATTTCTACTTTGTGTTTCATACATGTTGTCATTTGTGTTTTTTATGTATGGTAATGCCAGGTATATATAGAGGTTATTTAATGGGAGGGATGGAATATAAATTTTATTTCGAGGGAAAATAAGATATTGACCAAGGAAAATATCATTGACAGAGGGTGACAGCCCGAGTGTCAATATGATGTTTTCCGAGGCGAATATCATATTTTCTCGAGGAAAAAATTCATATTCCATCACGACAATCAATTACCTATTTATTCCATAATATTCTTCTGAAACTTGTTTTGTATGTCGTCACCCAATGATGTTGACATTAAATGCTACAGTTTAATTCATCAAATAACATTTTCAACTTTTATTAACAATTTTTAAAATAAAAATAATTCATAATACTAATAATAATATATCATAATATGCCACGAGATCTGATAAGGGATTTTGGCTGATACTGGATCTGATTGAGTTTCTTGAGTATCACTTTTATTCCCAGTTTATTTCCCAGAGAAAACATGGTATTACAGAATAAATATTTGTATATATATTTATTGACTATGTTTTTGTTAGGATGCACATCTCAGCAGCAGGTTCATTTTGCTTCAAAACTCATGAAAAAGTGCATATACATGTACTTCAAGTATAACTAGAACAGTAATAACAAGGCATTAAAATGCTCACAATATTATGAGTTCAAACTTAAGTCAGATTTGAATTTCTGAGAGCCCTGCAGATGATTTTGAAAAAGGTTTTTTTACCCTGAGAAAGTCATTGAAGGTGAAATCTCAAATCTAAAGTCAGATTTGAACTTCTGAGAACATATAAATTATTTTGAAAAAATTGGTCAATTTGAAGTAAGTTGAAAAATATCTTTTTGACCTTGAGAAGGTCATTGAAGGTCAAATCTATATTCAGACTTGAACTTTTGAGAACTTATAGATGATTTTGAATAAGAAAATTGGTCAATTTGAAGCAAGTTGAAAAAATACCTTCTTTAACCTTTTTTGACCTTGAAAAGGTCATTAAGAAGGTCAAATCCTCATTCTAGAGTCAAATTTGAACTTCTGAAAACTTGTTCATGATTTTCAAAACAAAATTGAAGTCAGTCTAAACAGCATTTGTCAAGTTATTGGAAGTTGTAAGAAATTGTTACAGAAGCCGATAGCCAACCACCAACCTCAGATCGCCGTCACAAAAGATGGAGACCATAGGTCACCAATTTTTGGTGGTGACATAAAAACCATATTTCACATCAATTTAAGTGAGGGACCAAAAGGGCATATTCCCTGACTCATCCTTAACAATGTTAAGTGGGCAACATCTATTCTAAGCCTGAGGGTTTCACTCCAATATACCTCTTAATACCTATGTGCCGCACCAAAGACCCACTTTTTGAGCATTTCTTTGTTGAGATTAAAATTCCCTAAATATTGATAAATTGACAAATAAATTCACTTTTCCAGTGAATTGTTCCAGTGATTTTGAAGAAAAACTGAATTTTGACCAAAAGGGTACTTTCTTAGATGATTTTCCCATGTTTCTTTCCTCCCAGATTTGCCAGTTTCCATGGTTTATGCCCAAAGCCAAAATTGACCATGCTGCACATACCTACCCAAATTATTTAGTGAACCCCCCGGGCTTCTAAGCAACATTTCAACAAAGAAATGTAAATAAAAAACAAATAACAAAAATCTTAATTAATAAAAGAATGTATTAATATTGCATCATCAGTACCATATCTATATACATATATTAACATATAGTTTACAGCAATACAAATATAGCTTTCCCATCTGATCCAGCAGATTCATCAAATACACTTTCAAGCTATTAGTACATATGTTTTATTATACAATAAAGATATATGACTGCTTAGAGCATCTCATTCTCATTTATGAAACACATGGGTACTCCAGGGATCCACCATGGTTTCAAAACAAGTACAAAAAGTACGAAAAATTAATGTACTCTAAACATTTATGTAACATTAGTAGTTATAAATTGAGTATTTCCTTATTTTGATGACAGATAAAGATGCTTCTTTACACTCATAGTTACACTTTCAGAACTTAACTTTTAACTAATTTGTAATTTAAATTGATTTGCAAGTACAAAATGACAATAATATAGTAAAGTTATGTGTATAAAGCAAAATTCATTTTAAGAAAGTAGAAACTAGGAATGTGTTTAATAATTATGCATGAAGTGTTCACATTTTATATTAAATCTAAGTTCTACTTTGCAAAAACAAAATACTGGGTTATGTATTGTATTGCTACATATTATTATATTTTTTTGTCATTTGTATTTTGCAAATCAACTTAATTAAAAGTTTCAGTAATTAAACTTATTTAATAACACAAAACATTCAACAGGTAAAACAACAATAAAATATTACATAGAATTATCATTAAAGTGTTTGAGCTCTTGCCAATAGATGTGAAAAATATCAAAATATCATAACACAACTAACTTAAATCTGCTTAACACAGATTGGCCAAATCAACAATGCTTCAGCATAAATAACTTTTGCTTATAATACTTGATGGGTTTATCACTAATTCAGGTTTAGTAGCACGATGTCCTTGGGTAGAAAGAATGAATGAAGCATGAGTTAGAATAAAAAATTATACATAATATGACAAAAGAAATGCTGCAAAAATATATACCAAGTCAATGAACCGGCAAAATACCAATGGGATAAAATTCCTTATATCAGTGATCTCCCAATGATTTTTTCTCAGGTGGGTGAAAAATTTCACAATCCAGATAAAAATTGGTCAAAATATGCCAATTTTTCATGATTTGTCAAGTGGGTGCAAATGGATTTTCAGGTGGGTGCCAGCCTATTTTCAAAATCTCAGGTGGGTGCTGCGCCCACTTGCTTTAATGCTGGGGAGATAACTGTATATGACATGTTTTTCTTCATTTGAAGGAGAAAATCTTTGTAAACCATTTTTCTGGTTTTGTATCAAAATAAAATATAATTTCAAAAACCCAAGTATTTCAGGATGTTTGCGTATCAAGACGGACAGTCAGACAGACAGACGGACAGACAGACCAAGTGGCTCAGCTTTGAATTGAAGAAGTAAGTACAGGCACTATTTCTTATTTACATTAATACCACCTTTCTGGCTGCGGTTTGAAAAGTTATTATTGCGTGTACTCATGTATTGATGAAGTCCTTCTTTGAACTTCACCACAGCCCCCTCATATGATGCAGGGGCATTGTTCAGGAGGTTGTTTAATTGGGCCTTGTTTTGGACACTCTCACCCTGGCAAGTTGCAGCATTCATACACCTAAAAGTAAAATGAACATAAGTCAAATGAACATAGAATGAAGAGAGCCAGATAAAACATAAAATAGATCAAGGCATTAACATGAAAAATGTCAGCACCTGCCATTTGTTACAGATGCTGATCACCGAACGGTGAATGCCAACCAAATGCCGAACATCAACCGATGTCACGACTTCACTAAAATGTGCTGAGTGAGTCAACATATATTAAATCAAATGTAAACATATTTTTAAAGATAATCTAAATATACGTAAGTGAGCACTAATGGAACACTGATGTGCCAAACTAAAGAGTTCACACTGAGAGATGCTAACATAAACAATAGTGGTTGTTTGCACTTGAGATGTATATTGTCAATAGACATTACTCACTATTGTTTATGTTAGCATCTCTAATATGATAACAACCAGAAAAAAACAATGTTTATAATTATTCTGCTTTTTAGGTCATAGATACACTTACTGGTAATATCCAGAAGAGGCCATGTTAACTGCAAGGTCCTCTGCAGTTACTGTTTTTCCAGCATTGGGGACCCACTTTATCTCTGCCCCAGTCCACATGTTTGTATTCTCAAATGGTATTGGGAAGTTGTCATTCCTATCAAGAATCTCTACGATATTGCTACGATCAGTTCCTGAAATGATAGAAGTGTCTCAAATATTCGTCACATCTAGGTAGAATGATTTCATATTCATATTAAGAAGTGTTCACAACTGGTCAAATCATCACAATTTTTCACAATTTTTATAACCTCAGTTGGGTGATTTGGATTTCAACAATCAACTGTTAACTGTTTTAACTTCAGAGTTTAACAATGGTCATGTGAATTGTATGAGGTCACAAATGCTGCATCAAATCACACTAACTTTGGTGTAAACATGATATCATTTACTGTCACACTAATCTTGATGTACAAGGGCATTTGAAAAGTTTGTTTCTTTTTGCTCTATTTTTTTATTTTTACAAATTTATTTACTGTTTCTTCTGTTTCATTGTTAAAATACCACTTTTCACTCTGCTGAAGGTTAACTCCTCATCCAAACAAAAAATTAGTTCACATATTCACATTCACATATTTACTTTCATTCTACAAAATGCATACTAAAAAGCTTTAAATAGCTCAAAGTATATTCCTAAAATCATAGTAACCTGTATGTGCACGATGTATATCATAAGAACATGCCTTTTTTAAAGGTCTAGTCACTTCATGTATTAAAATGGCAGTGGTGGCCATTTTGAATTAATTTCATATTAAAGTAGGCTACTTCTGTGCAAGCATCTGCAGGGCAATATCAGTTTATCATTCTTTTATTGAACAAAAGATGGCATAATATATTGAAACTTAATCAAAAGGAACCATCTTTTGGTGAAAGAAATATGGGTATAACTTACCTCCGGTTCCTTCCCCTGCATCTCCTGTTTGACCATCACCTCCTGGGTTGCCATTGTTGTGACTGTTTGACCCTGGAAATATATAGAATAAATCATATGTAATAAATAAATTACTCTATCCACTAACAACTTCTTTACAAAGCTGCATATCACTTTAAGACGCAATCTTGGGTTGTTTGGGGGTTAACTGTAAGATTTTGAGCTATAATGAAAGAATATACCGATAACCTCATTTCAGCAGGCCCAGGGCTGAAATAGCAAGAACAGACTGCCACCGAATGAAAATGATACGCACTCATGATTTCTAATTTCAAATTCAAATTTAAATTTAGAATATTACGTCAAAACTGAATAAGGACCTCTCAAATAATGTGCATCACATTACTCTTGGGATTATTGAATAACTCAGTGGTCTGTGCCAGAATACTTGCTTGCAACGTGGATGACCAGGGTCTAAATCCAAAAAGCGATAGACAGGTTTAACCAGTATCTTATAATATGGACAATGTTGATGTCATAATCATGTTTAAGCAAAACAAAAAGAACATTTAATAATTTCATTTTCACATTCTGCTTCCCACTATATACCTCTATCTTTCTTCTTCATGCATTTATAATATACACACAGAATTGATCATTAAGGATATTCTACGAAGGCCAGTGTCCGACCCTAAATCACTCTAAAAGGTTTCTGATTCATAAATAATTTGTAGAACTTACACAATAAATAGACCTTGATATAAAACTTTTGATGTCTTTCTTTAAATATCAAAATTTGTAGAGCTAAGCAGCTTGACTAGATAAAAGACATCTTTTCAATTTTTAAAAGGTGATTAATACACTTATTACATATGCTAGCAAGTTTAAGAAAATCTATTGAACATTTTGTATTCTCTTGCACTATAAACTGAGAATTAACTCTGTGGAGAATACACCAATAGATGATTATAGGCTTTAATTATCATCACCTTGCTAGGACTATTCTCAGGGTATTAGACTTAGTACTAGTTTAGAAGGCTTCTATTTTACTATATTGACTTGACCGATGGATGGGCCATAGTTGTCATTATGTGCCCTGGTCCTGGGTGAATAACAAGTTTGTACATAGTTTTCAGTAGGTCGTGATAATACTTAATACCTCAGTTCAGCAAGGGTGAAGGGCCAAGATTTTCACAATGTTTATTTTTTGAAATGAGGTTATTGGTAAATTCTAGCAAGCCAAAAGATATTTTTTATTTCAATGTAGTGAAAGACTATGTAGTCTATAGGGTATGATAAATCAGTAGGTCGACAGATCTACAATTCAATTGTTTTATCGCTGAGGGACTTTACTGGACTAAATAAAACAGTTTTCCTAAAACACCACTGTCTAATATATTGGTATCTATTTACTCCTTGTACAGATCATTTCTTATCCTATAGTTGAGAGGTGACTTAAGGATCCAACTGTCAAGTTCATCATGTCTCTTGTTCTTATTTTGAACAATATAGCAAAAGAATTGTTAAAAAAGTAAGAGTAAAATTATATGTTGATAGTTAATTTATATAAAGATTAATTTGGCAAATGGTGGAGCTATTTTTCTTCATTCATTTTTCAAAAATAAACAGTATAATGTCAACTCGACAAATCCATATGATTGCTCAACTAATGGTTCTACTGAATAAATCGCTGCAAATCCCAACCATAATTTTACTAGCAAGACTTTATATTACTACTCCAAGTACTAAATACTGGCTTCAGACTGATACATCTGAAGTTATGATTTATACCAAAGGAGGTGAGAGGGTCAAACAATTTGCAGCATATCTAGCTGAAATGTGTTTGCCAATCTCTGATGTCAATCTAAGCAGCCTTATCCCACAAGCAGATCAGGGGGCAACAACTTATTCTCATTTTGGACCTTAAAATAGCTCACTTCAAAATTAGGTCCAATTTCTTAAAAACGAGCCTCAACTTTGGGAAAATTGGTCTAGAATTTCAAAACATTTTCCAAAGAGGGACTTGGACTTTCAAAAAAAAGATTTAAGCCAATTTCCAGATCCACTCCTGTACCAATACTTTCTATATTTCCTGGTAATACATATTTGATTCAATTCTGTTTCTAATTTTTGGAGTTGAAGTGCCACTTAGGAGTATGAATAGCACATGTTGAAATGCTTATAGAGTGACAGAATGACATAACAATTGTAATATGAGGAAGTCAGAGAAATAGCAACTTCTATATTCTATGATATCCTTCTGAATTTCATCCAGCTTATTACTTTCTGGATTCAAATTTAATCTACATGAATTATGGCATACTACATGTATAAGTCATCTAGACCTGATTACTAATATTAAATCCTAAGTTTACAAGAATTATCCAAGAACTTTCTAACTAAATTAGACCTTTTGACCAAAAACATGTGGTAACCTGGGAAGCAGATCTCCTTTGCAGGAATCATGGGACGTTATATTGCTTTGACAATGGACTAAAATTTTCCATATCTTCAGTGGTCACAGTCTGGTACAGATGTATCTAACTTTTCAACCCATTTTAGATTTTTAGACCCATCACAACCAATTTCTCATCATATCCATCACTTAAAAGTTTTAATATTTCATTTATAGGTTTGGGGCACTAAATAGTTTGAAATTGAGTAAAAATCGGCTGGTTAGTATTAATCAATGTAGAAATTGATGAACCCATTGGTAATAGGGGTGTAATTGCTACCATTGTACCATTTTGGTAAGCAGCAAACAACATTTATACAATTATAGGACCAAGAGTTTAAAAATCCCTTAAAGAAAATATCATGGAGTTGGGTTTTAAAATGCAAAATAGAGTCATAAAGAAAGAAATTATCACGAAGAGAAATACAAAGAGATGGTGTAAATACTCCAAATTGCAGAGAACTACCGTAAAATCAGACACTTCTTTCAAATTTTAGAGAGAAATCACAAGGAATATGTGTGGCGAGTGAGAAATAAAGAGCAGAAGTTTCCTATTGATTGCAGGAGCTCATCAATGTTTTATTAGATTAAGAGGGCTGCTTTGAATGGCAGGCATCTCAAGAATAAACTAAGGAGGATTTGAAATTCTTTGGAAAGCTGACAGGAGATTTCTCATTATCAAATAAAAAGAGAATATGCATGCGAAAGAGATGTCCTCCTGCTATTAGAATCAGATACTGAGTTTTATAGTGATGAACTAAAGTTACAGTGAACCTTAGAGAATTGTGCATAGAGACCTGGAAAGCAAGCTACATACTGACATATATCCTCAAAGAAAGATCATTATTGGAAAAATGAGATTTGGTGCCAAAAGGTAAGATATTGTTTATATATTATTTTTTGGTATCTAATAATGATTTACAACCAAAATATTGAATGAAGAAAAAATCAAAAAATGTGAAAATTGACCTACTGGGTTTTGACGAACTTTTTGAATGCAAAATACATTTTTTGGCAGGCTTGATATTCACTTACTTCACTTTTTCAAAGAAACAGATATCATCATAAATGATTTTGTATTTTAATTTGATTCATATTTTACTGAACAAGGGTTATCAAATTTCTATTATATCACCTGGGTTGCAACAATAATTTCAAATTATAACCAGATGCAAGTGTTATTTATTGTAATGTATTGTATTGTAATGTATGAGGCATGCATTTCAATACCAATCATTAATAGATAGATGTAATATTCATTTTATTGTTTGAGATGTGCTCGAGTTATAAACACTATCATTCAACTATTTCACATTTAAATATATCCTCAAATTTCAAATGGCCCAATTTAATTTTCTTAGTATCCCTTTCAATTTTCTGACTCTAAAACTCTTTAGAATTGGGTATGACTGCAAAACCCACTGTTTTATTTCATACATACATATTACCATCACCATTATATTGTTTACAGTATCATGTTGTTTAAATTATTACAAAATTCTCTAATTTATTGATGATACATATTGATGAGATGTCAAACGATGAATAAAAGTGAAAATAGTTTAACAATTGAACCGTTCAGCTGTCACATTTATTTTACGCTAATTAAAACGTGAATCTACTTTGACAGACTGAGGTGAGAAGTTTTGCACAAAAAAGAAAGTCATTTGGTAAATTGTATTCATATATTCATTCATTGTGTCACATTAGCTTCAAGACTTGATCAATTGTGTCTGTAACAGTTTCATTTGCCAGTTTACTTTCCCTTTCTGTTCAGCTTATTTAATGCCATTTCTCTTCAACAACATTATTTTTTTCATTTCTATTTAGTATGAGAGGCTTGACTATATGCCTGTCAGATTTATTGCCTCATATTTCTCACTATTGTAATCATTTTCTCTTTTAAAACATGACCACAATGAAATCCTATTCATAGATAGATTTGTCAGATAGCATCAAATTATGGAGAGATTTAATGGAAAATTAGGTATTTGTCATGCCTCGATACAAGTGAATCTCTGAGATTTGCAATCACATTTGTTAGAGATTAGTTGAGGCGGAAGAAACCCTGATATAAATGCCCCTCCTCTAATGCCTGAATCACATTTCCTCCGATTCATCAGCCAGCGTCTGGCCAAATGAGTATTTTGTTCAAAATTGTTTCAGTTTTGAACAAAATACTCAATCGGCTGGCCGAGTCATGTTCATTTCAAAAGATTCTCTAAAATTTTCTATTTCATTAAAACAACATAGAATTCCAACAAAGCTATATTTAGCAGTTATGTCCCTATCATTGAATATATGCCTAAGGTCTGTCACCAATATAGCCCGAGCTTGCGAGGGTTATATTACGACAGACCGAAGGCATATATTCAATGATACGGACATAACTGTTGTATTACATACTTTTATATCATGGCTACGTTATATCAATGATGCCACGTGTCTGTGTGCGAGTGAAATTAGGAAGAAATGAAACATGACGTCCCGATGACGTCATAAGATTGTCATGGTAAAAGGTTTGGCGGCTATACAGGAATATATAGCCGACTTTCAGCTCCATTGACTTCAATACAAATGCTTCGCTGGGTATGTAATACATAGGTATATTTCTGACCATGTCTAAAAGTCCTTAAAAGTTAAACACAAAATGTACAGACCCATGTTCACTTAAACCCACAAAACTTCCATGACTACAGGCCTGATGAAAGATGAACCATATATTGTAATAAAATAATGTATTAAAACAAAAGAATATTTAATGAAGGTTTATATATTTTTCAGCTTCCTTTATTACAAACGTTGCCTTTTGATGTGACAAGAGTACTATAAATATGTATGAGATGCTGAGATAATAGTATTCAGTAATTTAGATTGTGCAAAAAAAGCAATCTTATGCTTTGCTTTATTTATTCCACCTTGTTAGCCCCTGTTGGTTTCTAGCATTTGTTGCCCCTGTTGCTTTCTAGCATTTGTTGCCCCTGTGGATGATTTATGAAATCATTCATATTACTTTACAAAACTTACTCTTATAAATGATGTCAGGAGATTATGATTTAAAATATGAAATAGAATACAAAAAAGTAGAATCTAAGAAGAAATTATCAATACAACCAAGTACTGTAACCCACACACCAAATGTAAGAAAACCAAATTGTTCTTTCAACTTGAATTCAGTTACAGAAAAGAATTAATGGTTAAAAACATGAGTAAAATGTCATGACTCAGTTCAATCAATACTATTCAAAGCATCTTTTTATATTCAAATTCATCTAAAAATAACACGTATGATAAATCAATAAATAGCTGTTAAGTCTTAAAAGTTTACGTGGATTGATGAATAAAGTTAAATATCCAGTCTCAGTTTAAAAGTACATGCAGGACTTGCAGGTAAGAGATTTTTCTACCCTGACAATTTTCAGTTTCTATGAGATCGTACCTGGTAAACATTATGAGAATATTTTCTATTTGCCAGTTATATTATCTTATTTATTAACTGCATTTTAAAGTAGATGATAGAGATTTCCAGACCACTAATACACGTATCTTCAATTTAAGCAGCTTTAATTGAATGAATCCTTTGATGATAATTTCAAATAAAGTTGTGACAAAATTACCCTTTGCATTTGTTTGACTTCACTTCTTAAAAGAGAGCTTCGTCTTCACTCTTTCAAACTAAAATAAACCTGTGAACTCACCGCGCCAATCAGTGTTCGTCGGTTCTAAATATGGTCATTCCTTTTGACGTCATCGTTGAGCCCGGAATTGACCAATGACATGCATATTTTTAATTAGAACGCATTTGGCGTATGTTTCTTCAAGCTCGAAGGAAGAAGGTTCAGCGCATAGAGAAGTGATTTATTACCCAAACTGTCACCGGTACCCGTCGTGGGGGCGGGGCTACTAAACTGTAATATGGTCTCTACTAGGCAGAGTGTAGTTTAACTAGACTCTGCACGCAGGGTATGACAAAATTATATATTTCATTAGGTATGTTATATTCTGTTGTTTGTACTTACATGTACATTGAAATGATTGATCTTTCAATTCTGACAAGACTTTTATGTGAATACGCATTTTATACAAAATACAATTTTAGCAAGTCACATCTCTATTCCTTTATTTCTTCTATAGAATACACTATTTTCCTGACCTTATAAAACATAGAAACACAGGAGATTATAGCATGTCTGAAATATGCATTATTTATACAGTAACTTGGATGGATCCATGTCTATTAAAAGCTATGATATTCAAAGTGCAGACATGTACATTAGCAGAGTAAATCAAATATACAACCCATGACAAATTGTTACACCAGGTCATCATTATCACATGTGATTCCTCTCTAAAAATTGAATGAACCCTTCAATTTTCTAGCTTTTTTATATACTATGGAGCGTGTACTTCATGTCTTTTTTCTTTATTCCTTGCTAATTTCTCTCTTTTAAACTTTATTTGTTTTCTCCAGCATGACTGCTTATTCAAAGGATACTTTGCCAGTGGGACATAGGCTCAATAGGTTAATGCAGATGTGCCAATCTATTGTAACAACTTTCCCTTTTAATTGAGAATACAAATCACTTAACAGCCATAAACCCAAAGAACTGTGTATATTTTCCCCATACTTATTAGTTTAACTGTAAATCTGATAATATTGTTGTTAGTTTCTTTTTTCACATTTGAGAAAATGTACAAATAGTGCCTTGGATTCTAAGATGGTATCAAAGTAAAACTGTAATATTTGTTAATGCATGCCAAGAGTTTAACAAAAGAATTGATGTGATGTAAATTGAATTCATAAAAATGATATTTTTTCAATCATTCAAACTTAATACACACATAAAACACATTTACAGTACTATGAACATGTAAAATATGCATACTACCATTGCCAGGGGGTCGCTATGGGTGTTTGCCTATGCAGATTAGGACAGTAAATAGCCTCACCAACAGATTTTGCCTCACCAATGATTTTTTGCCTCATTGGCAGAAAAGATTTGCCTCATTGACATAAAACATTTACCTCATTGCACCTACTTTGTGAAATCCTAGCTATGGCAGTGATAATAATATAACATTCTTATGCAATGCATATTTTGACTTATGTGAATGTCAAAAGGCTTACAGCCCATGAATAAATCGCAGCCTTGCATAAAATCTATTTCTATATCTCTTTCCAAACCCTTGTGTGGAACATGCATATTTAGTGTGGGGGAAGATGGAAGACAAATGAAATGAAAATACCCTGCTTGCAAGATGTATACTTTAAATCGTACATTCCAATCTTATTTCAACATTTTTACTGTATTTGTGATCACTTCTGGACTGCTATCAAGCATACTAATTTAATTAGTGATGCCAATATATTTATAGACTATCTTATCAAACTTGAATTAATAGCAAGGAAAGAGTATGGATGATCAGTAGTTAGTATACCCTTTGCATTTGTTTTCAACTTTGCTTCTTAAATATTCTTAAATATATTAATTGCCCTAAAATATACTTCATAAAGAGCAAGCTCTTTTGATTAATTTGCCACCAGCAGATTCAAAATCCTTCCATGGTTGACTGCACAGGACAGATTTCATTAACTCATGTAAAATCAGACTTGCATCAACTTCTCAACTAGTCTATACTAGGCAGAGGGTAGTTTATAACTATACTCTACAGTATAAGCAGCACATCTACCAGTCAATTTTTGGCACTTTTATTCGACTGAGATAAGAAACTACATCAGTCAGCTTTATTTCTAAATCTAAATTCTCTCTATTTCATTCTTTTTGAGTCAAAATCATGGCAACTAGGATATTTTACTCATGGGTGAATATAGAATGTTTACACTTTTATCATAATTATAAATTATAGTCATATGGATTTCATCTGTGAGGATATTGTTATATGTACAGCAGTTTAATACATCTCTGAATTACACATGATCAATATTTCCTGATCTTTAACATATTGGAACAGTTTTATATATTAAGGTAAGTGATATTATACATTGACTAATAGAAATGGGGGAGGCGGTGGATTTCTCAAAATAAGGCTTGCAAAATTCATTATAATTCTTCACACTCTCTACTGATATTACTTTGTGACATAATGTCACTTGATTTCTAGAGAAGGGGGGGGGTCTTCATGGGCTCATAGCAATCTTTCTTAATGTTGGAATCACTATTCTGACGCTTTTTATCTCATGTCTTATTGATTCACAAGGTAACACATCAGCCACAGTTGTGGTCCTTTTAGATGGTTTTATCTTTACAAAGTAGATGTATCCAATATATTGTCCAACAAACCATACTGTCAAACTGTGCCAAGATATGATAACAACATGGGATTAGTTATAAAATATGGTTATTTTCTTAACTTTAGGTGGCTTATGATAAATTACTTAATGTTTTCATTTGTGAAATTTCATAATGTTTCCAAAAGAAATGCATAGGGATTTGAATTGTTATTATTTTGAAATATAAATAATATATTTACTTATAATATGCAGATTATCTCTCAATATATGATACAAGCATAAAAATAGATCTTAATACATTAAAATGAAGCTCTCTCCGGAAAAATTCTCTTGGAAAAGGTATATATATCTGAGGGCTGGGAGGTAGAAGAGGGGTTGCAAATGTGAAAGGCAAATTTGGAGAGGTGCTCATAATATATTCAACTAAATTGAATACAAGTTTCACTGTATGTACCATATTTGATTTGTATATTGTTTAGACCTTGGGCCAAAACCAATACCACATAGTGTTTGCACAAAACTATTATCATCTAATGGGGCCTAAATATAGAAAGGACTTTTTAGATATTTTTTATCAAAAGGGAGATTGATTGTAGACTACTCAGTCATGATATAACTCAACAAAATTGACACTTCAGAAATAACAATTTATTTCAAGGAGAAATATTGACGTAATACCAAGTAGATACTTAATACATGTACAGTAACAAGTAGATACTAAATACATGTACAGTAACAAGTAGATACTAAATACATGTACAGTAACAAGTAAATAATAAATACATGTACAGTAACAAGTAAATACTAAACACATGCACAGTAACAAGTAGATACTAAATACATGTACAGTAACAAGTAAATACTAAATACATGTACAGTAACAAGTAAATACTAAATACATGTACGGTAACAAGTGGAACTTAATGTTGATTAATTGTAATCTGGAACCAATGATAAAATTTAATGGTGGACAATTCCATGAATTTTAAAATATAATCAGATAGAGTGAAATAAACAAGGAATGAAGAGATCAGACATGAAATGCACACTATTGATTACATAGAAGAGAAATTAAAGAGTAATAACATAGAATAAGGTAATGTATTACTTTCTGCAGGATGGAAACAATTTAACTTATACACAGATTATCAAAGTTTATTTATCAGAAATGTAAACACTTCCTACTCTAACAAATGGTGTTGAAGTTCAAATGATTGTGAAATATTACAAGACTATAGCTTGTATTAGAGAGTTGCTAACCGGAGGTGGTCTCGACTTTGTCAACATAATAAATGCTAACTAACATAAGAATATGAATATGTGGAATATCACTGGCAATAAGTAAGTGTTTAAATTCATGCAATTGCAATGAAATACTTTGGAACAATATCAACCGATCACCACGAATCCAGCAATGAAATAAAGGTTAACTTAGCCTTGAAGCCCAGTAGAAATTATTGTGTGGATTAAAAACTTTTAAAGAGCTGAAAACAAACTATTAAAGAGGCTAATTTGGATTTACAATATGTGATCTTCCCTCACCACCTTGATGGTATATTCCTCAGCACCATAGTTTATACAGGAGTAATTGTATGAAAGCTAATATGTAAATACTCAATAGAACAGCTATATATAATATATGTACATGGATTCATCAATACATAAATAAACACAATCATATAAATCCATTTATCAACATTTTTGACATTTGCTATAATAGACTGTTCACTGGTCGTTTATCAAACCTACTGGAGTGGAGTTTTTTCTTCAGAGAATAATGTATCAATCACAAAGGTAAGCGAGATCAAATGATCTTTATGATTTTTCATGCTTTTAATGGTTGTTGTAATATGAAGCAAAAATATGAACTGCAGTTTCAGGAATTCAATGATTCAAAATTTAGTATGTACTCTTGTAACATTTATATCATGATCTGTAAGATTAGTAATAAACCCAAACCATGAATGAACTGACTTGAGAATCTTACATCTAACCAACCATGTTATAAAACATTGAAAAGTTGAATTATATAGAATGGAATACGTACTAAATAAAGCAATTCCTGAATAATTATTATTCAAATACTGAATGATGTGGACATTTTCATTGTGAGGGTTGTCCAAAATATCTTGACATTTTTGCAACAACTCACCTGTATACAGGTATGCGATAGGTGCACATTTTGTACATGAATTCAAACACAATGCCATAGGATTATATATTAAAAGGGCGAAGTATAACAAGTTTTGAACCTATTTGTATACATGTAGATGTATAATTTGTATACATGTAGATGTATATTGTACAGTAGCCAGTATAGTAGCTTTATATACTGATTGAACAAACCATTCCTTTTCTCTCTATTTCACATTTTCATTTCTATGTATATCTTACTTTTCTTAGGGTTTGCCAAATTGTTACATTTATCCTATGAGATTATTCTAAGAGGGATTTCTCATGGGCATTAGAGGGATCACAATGACACTAACATTTATTATATCCAAGTCTGATCCAAGACTTATGATACAAACAGAGATATAAAATCCACTACCAATAAGTTAATTGTCAAGATGGTCAAGTTTTTAAGATATAAAATGGATTAGAAAGGATGACATTTGTATTTAATAAAATGAACACACATGAAGTACATGCTCAAAATTGTACAATTTTGTACGAAAATCAAGTACTTTATTCAATCATTAAAAAAAACTGTGAAATTAACCATGACCTGGTGTATGTTTCAGAATTAGTTCAGCAAAAGCTAGGGGATTACATATGGGCCCCTAGTCCCACATAAATGAAAAGTGATCATGAATTTTTTATACAATTCCAACTACCTGATTTATCCTGGTTTAATATTATTGTAAATCCTAATAGGATGGAAGCATGATCTGTTTCCATTAATTGTGACTGATGTAGAGTAGAGATACCAAACAGATCATTTTCAATTGCCCTTGCTAATACCCAGGCTCAAGGTGTGGATTAAAATTGATCAAAAGATTTGTTTTTAGATTTGTTGAGAGTATTTTTGTTTTTAAGCCTTTTTTCGTTTAATGTCAGTTGGGTTTCATTAACATTTCTGAACAACTGGCAAAATGAATTACAATTTTGACATGGAATTGGAAAAGTTGCAAATTTTGTCAAACACAATGGGAGACTTGGGTAGAAATGAACTGGAGAAAATTCCAAGTTGCCCGCTTCTAATTAAATCACTGTTTTGCAGTTTTCCTTTATATTGTAGAATTTTAGAGCTGATCTGTGTTTTATTCTTGCATGTAATTGGAAGTTCTGTCAGTTATAATCCAGATAAGCTTGGCATCCATTGAACAATGAATCAATGACTTTTACACAATAAAAGGATAGAATACTTTAGAAAATATGGAGGAGGTATGTGACTTAATAATTTATAGAAATTCCCAGACGTAAAATATACAATGAAGAAACTTTATACTGAATGGTCCAAAAAGGTAAAAAAGGAGATAGTAAGATAAGCTTTTTTAGTTGAGTCAGACACTATTTTCCACCATTTTGTGACACATCATTAATTTAACCGAGGATGTATTTTCCTAAATTATCCAAGTTATTGGCAAAAACACGTCGTAAAAAACATTAAATCCTAGCAAAGCATAAAACGTTAGAATGCTCAATAATAGAAAGGATATCACAGTTAAACTCCAAGATCTCAAAGCAATATATTTGAATGAAAGTATGAATGGCTCTGAAATGAAACTAAAAGTTGCAATTAGTTCACAGAAATTGCCATGTTTCTAAGGAGTGACATTTTGTTAATATTTACTTTCCCCATTCATAAATTGCCATAGTGACTTACCCTTTACTCATATATCATATGATATTGGTTCATTATTATCTCATTAAATGAAGCAAATTTTCTTAATCCTTTTCCATGTTTGATATGTCATGCCTGTTTCCTTTATTTCTTTTTTATTCCTCTCATTTCTTTACTTTAAGCCATATTTCCAACAAGGCAAACTCCTTGATTACATCTTTATTCAAGAGCTAATCACAAGCTTTTCAGATGTCATTTTTCTATTATATTTTTCCATTAATCAGAGCAATTTTGATGCATTTTTTGATGGCCAATTGATTTTCGTTGTCAGTTCTTATTTATGGACATATAAATATCCATTCTAAGGCAATGTTATTAGGAGTGTACAATATGTGGCTAGAATACTGATACATTAGCACACTTACAATATGCTTCACAACTTTATAGGTTTACAGGCATAGTCATGACACTCTAAACTGTATAGAAATACAAGAAAATTGGGCATTTAATTGACATTTTGGAGCTTTGAAGACCAACAATGTAGAAAAAAGTCTGAACATGCTGACATTTTTTAAGTACAGGCAGTTCATTAATTAAGTCACCCTGGCAAGACAATATTATTGTTGTTTTAACATTTCAATCATGGCTTTTTCTAAATATCACCAACTTGGGTCATATATCAAAGAATAGTACCTCATTAAATGTGCAATAATTAGATTTTACTTGATGCAAAACAAATAAAAAATAAATATTATTGTAAGGTTTTAACAGAAAAATATAATTTATAATCTGCCACAAACAACATGCAGTAACAAACTGATGTCAGATTGTATCTTGAAAAATGGTACATAACTAATATGTTACAAAACTAAATATAGCTACATGGGAAGTAAATATAATATTTGTTCCTCGTGACATTTTTCATATAACAATCAACGTCCAAGCCAATCATCTTTAAAACAAATAGGGTTGAGGAAGAGAAATTAGCAAGGAATAAAATGAACAGTAATAAAGTACATATTATACATGTAAACCACAGATTAATGCGTGGAATCTAGTTGCTTCATTCAAAATGGTGAAAGAAATTGCATGAAATAAGCATGAGCAGACAAATTTCTAATGCAGACAGATATTAACTTAATCATATTTTATAGAGAAATCCTGTTTAATATAACAGGCCTATATTCTACTTCCAGGTTACGTTTTGATGAGTGTTGGATTGACGATTTATCACCCCTGAGACAGTACTATGCGAGCAAAGGAAGGGAATAACAATGCGAAAGCAGAGGAGCAGAAAGAAGAACTCTCAATTGGAACTGGAGCATCAATAAAATTCTGGTTGGCAGCAATGAGAAGTCAAATTATTCGATTAGCACCTTTTACAAGGAGATCAGGTATCATGAGTGTGCGACTCTCCTTTTTGAATATCTTGAAAATGACAATAGGACTTTTATTTGTCATTATGGGATATCATTACATCACAATGTCATCGTCAAATGATGAGATCAATCAGTCATTGAAGGCAAGGAAAAATAAGCCAAGGGAGAAACCATACTTTAAAAGTTTGTATATCAAAAACATTCCAAAGCTGAAACCTCAACAAATAATGGAACAGTACACCAAATGGCATAACCTCATGTTGACCAACAAGGAAATACCATGCGATCAAAAAAAGGCAATCATATTCATACCCAGTGCTGGATTCGGGGACTCCATGCATGCCCTTTCTGCTGCATATTATAAAGCAATTCAAACAAGTTTCATTTTCACGATGCAATGGAACTTTTTTGACTGGGATACAACCTTCGAGCCTTCAAAATTGAAGTGGAACATACATGATGCATTAGAAAATGAATGGCTTTGCAAAAACAGTACCATTATTGAAATCAGGGGTCATGTTGCTGTTGGAAACCCAATTCTCACTGAGCCAAAAGTAAACAATCTCCAATATAGCCTTGGTGATCATCTAGTCTGGTCGTATTTTATGCAACTTAAACCTAATGTCAAAACTGTTATTGACAATGTTATGCAACAGTTTCAAGATAAACACATGGTTGCCTTGGTAATCAGAACAGGAAAATCAGACTATATGCGCTTCCTTTCTGATGGCGATGAATTCAAATTCATAGACTGCTACAACAAATATATGAATGAGCGAAAAATTGATACAGCAAATGTAAAACTGTTTGTTACAAGTGATGAGGATTATGTCATTAAAAACGTTGCTAAAAAAATTGGCAAAAATAATGTGATTTACACAGATATATCTTCCCCTGTTCATGTTGCCCATTTAGATAAATATGATGACAAAACCAAAACAAAAGGTGTCATTAAAACTATGGCAGATTTTTTCATAATTTCTAAAGCAGACATTGTGTTCCTGACCAAAGGTTCCTTATTTGGGGCTGCGGCAACAGAGCTCGGCAACATTCCATATGATCGGATATTCACCATAAGTGATAAAAACTGCGATAAACAAGGCCATCCACGTGGTTGTGCATCACCTAAATATCCACCTTTTTGTGAAAAGTAGTCGTTGGTTCTTCATACATGGTACTGACTGGCAAACCTATTCTCACTCGGTGGGATATCATGTAAAATTATTCCAGACTTTCAAAATGAATGTATTATCCAGTAGAGTAAAAACGGGTGGAAATAGGTATAAAAAGCATGAACTGAAGAAGGAATAGAGTAAACATGCAGAGAACGCCAAAATCAGAGATCTTATATGAAATACATCTATGTAGAGAAGACCATACAGATAAGATTATAGGGCAGAAAAAGAAATCCCAAAATGACTGTCTTAGAATGCTTAAAAAATAATCACTTGTAAAATTTCATATAAAGAAACATCCCTAAAAATTTAAGATCAATCCATTTGACAAAATGGTTTGAAAAGTGTAGAATTTACTGACAAGATTTTAGGACAGGAAATCAAAAATAGCTTCCTTAACATACACCCAGTGACAGGGTTTTAAACAATGCAGATCACTTGAATCATTTTTAAAGATACTAAATAGTTTCATTATTATGAAAACTCGAAAGCATCATGTTAATATGATACAAAGTATGATCTCTTGCTTCAAAATGTCAAAATTTGGTAAAAACAAATCTCAATTCAAGAAATTATTATGCATTCAACTAAAAGAGATGCTTATTCATGTTATTTGATTGGAATGATGATGTGGCATCTATCTTACACTTCCTGTTCCTGAAAACTATGAATAATTTAGAGAGGTTTCCTATAAAATGTCTATGAAGCTGTGGAAAAAAAAGTTAGCACACCAGATTGCATGTTCAATGAAATATTACCTGTTTTACCTTTGATACAACAAGATATACAGCTTGCTATGGACTCAAATTAATTGAATTGAATGTTTATTTGTTCTGGAAAGCTCACATTCACTGTCTTTAAGTTATAAGAAACAATTTTTTGATCTTGTAAGTAAGAATATGTACTTTAAATTAAGAATATCATTACATTCTGCTTTTAAATATTGATATTCATATCACAAGTCAAGGTGAACTGGTTACGATTTGATTCATTGAACCATTGGTTTCCAGAGCGATTATAGACAATTTCATACCAATATCGTATATAAAGATGAGCCTGTTATGTTCATACAGAGAGATTTATTTATTCAGAAAATAAATGTTTAAGGTAGTGGGCTGACAATGACATGCTGCATAGGGAGTGGAATATTCTTATTTCAGAAAGTAGATACTACAGGCTGATAGAATATATAGTTGTAGATGTCAATACAAGGGAATAATGATGATCAACTGATCAATGCAATATCTGAAGCAACATGTTAAAAACAATCTTACAAATTCTATGCCATCTATTGATGGTTCTAAAGTCCATTATCGTTGTCTCAGACATACATTATCATCACCCTTATATCACCATGAAACAGCAATAGTTTGCGCAAATTTCATCTACTTGCCCACATGTTGTTAAATTCTGATAGACTTAATGAAATAAAGCAGGATAATTAAAAATCATCAAATTATGACTCCTTGTATTTGTATTATATAGAATTAATGCAATTGATAGCTCAGACAAAATTTAGTTTTTCTTTTGATAAACTGCAACACTGCAAAACGTTTACTGACCTCTACTTAACTATGACCCTTCTAACATTTTAAGGGGTAGGGGAATGTAATGTTCTTATATTCTCAATTATAGTGTTGTATTCCAATGCAATGTGACTGACTACAAAATGCATTTTTTGTTAATTTTGGACCAGTGTCAACTTTTGGGGCTCTTTAACTTATTCCAAAAAGTGTTACTTGATCTTTATGTTTTTGTGCAATCAGCAACATATTGCAATTAACATACTTTGTCAAAATTGAACAAAATATCCTTATTATTCTGAGAAGCAAGTTTATAATTAGAGGTTATGTCACTATCGTGACATATATGCCCGAGGTCTCAGTGATATACGGCCCGACCTTGGGAGGGACATTGATCTCTGAGAACCGAGGGCATATGTGCCACGATAGTGACATAAACGATTTATAACATACCTATGATGATGTAGACTGGTCAGAGAGTACCGTTTTCTTATAGAATTGAAACACAAATGGTTTGAAAATGATTGAAATGAGTTTAGAAAAATTGCTCGCGCAGTTTTATCTTCGATTGATTGGTTATGACGTCAGAGCCTTGACCAATCAGAAAGTTAGCGGGCGCGGGCTTTTCAAAACTTATATTGGCCCGCTGTCTTGTGTACACTTTGCACTATACATCATCATAGGTATGTTATAATAAAGAAATATTGAATGAGATGTACTAATAATATATTAATAACCTTGTTCATCAAGCTTATTAGCAACTCACCCACAGAGTAATGAAAAGGCACAGAGTAACAAAGGATATGTAGGTTTTTATGACAAAATGATGAACTAGTCTAATATAAATACATGTAATCAACATATGAGCTGTTAAAACATTGAACTATATACTATATTATATCCATTAAATATGCCTGCCTGTTACAATTTATTTCACCAGCAAAGTACAGGTTAAGGTTTACATCCAAAAATGCTTTTCCATGAGGGATAGGTTCTATTGAAACAAGTTCATTGAGTTTATAATAATGTAAAACAAGGCATGCAAAATGTCACTACCTCCTGTTTGTTACATTTATTGTTATCTGAGCACCAAACTCTGAACACCAACCACCATCACAAAAAAGTTGGAGATCATAATCAAAAACTATGAAGAAGGCAAATCTTTGATTTGATGTCTTGCAAAATATTTACAATAACCTATATAAGTATTTCCACCTACCTGTCCACTGTATATGCACCAAGTCAGCATCCGTAATGTTCAGATCATTTGGGGCAAAATCATACTCCACAGCAGGAAATGTTTGAACAATATTTCCCCGCTTTCCCCGAACATTCAAATTATACAGTTTCTCATCGCCAACACCAGCTGGCCTTGGAGCAAGTAAAAAGGCGTGGCTGCGATCTTGAAAAACACGTCCAAATTGTGCTGTATTTATTGCAAGACGGAGAGGTGAGCTTGCTCCTACTTCAACAATTGGGTTTTGTTGTACTGGCGACACAATCCCTTGAGCACTAAAATAGAAGATAATTAAACATAATTCTCCTCAAATATTACAACATTTTATCAACATATACTAGTAGGGCTCTTAAATGGCTTCATAATTTCTTGTTTTGGTTTTGGGGTTACGGTTTTTATCTTTTCGGTACGGCTTCGGTTTGGTTTTTCGGTTCTTATCGCACTTTAAAGAAAAAAATCAGATAACAAGCCTGCACTACTGGTAAATAGTGGCAATGTCAATACGATAGCCTGATAGTCACCACCAGCGTATCTTATCATTCCGGTTTTCAAATGAGAAACCAAACCATAGATCTATTTTTAAATGTTAAGGTTTTAAAATTATATTATTTTCAAATTCTAATCTATCACGGTTAAATAATAAATTGTATATCTGCTTTAAATCATAGATGCCGTCAAGATTCCTTTATAGAAGGATCAGTAGCTCAATAAATCAGATCCTACTACAAAAGAATTTTGCCGCCATCTACAAGTATATGCTTTAAATGGGCTTATTAGCCTTTTGCAGATTATTTACATTGACATAGACAACTCAAACTGAAAGTGAAACTGACACTTCATCTTCCTTGCAAAATATCTTTTTTCATGCAGTCATGCGTACAAGTGAATGAAATGACTGATGTATTTACTTACATATTCTTATTCTGAGTGCTGTCAGTGTTGAAAGGATCATAATCATCGGTTGAGATGTTATATCTGAAATACATTGAGAATAGAATGGTCAATCAAGAAGTCATTTCTGTAAACATTCATAACCAAAAAGTTAACAACTCCAAGGTTTTAACCATGGATAAGAAATTATATATAGTTACAGAAATATAGAATTTTGAATTCATTTTTCTAAATGCACCTGCATCTAAAAAAAATACTAAAACCTTGTAATAATCATGCCATCTATCAACTGAAGAATGTTAAAATAATAGTCCATGTGTTAATCTATATAGTAATTCAAGGTACAGTAAAACATGTTAAATTTACATGAATTGAGATATTTTACTATTTGATGTGTCTTGATTAGATCACTTTCCAGGACTTTGTCTACTTTTACTACATTGATTCCCAAACTTATATGAAATCATCAGAACGTTCGCATATTTAAAATCATTCTATGTTAAAAAATACTAAGGTTTATGTTTATAAGTCACAACATTATTACTTGTGACCATCTTATATAATTTTTCTTTCATTTGAAGTGCCTTATATCTTAAATTTGAATTATAAGTGGTTAAAAATGCATTCATTCCCTCCTTATTTCACTCTTTTTGCATGACAACCATGGCATATTTCAAGAAATATTTACCTTATTCGCATTGCACATCTCTGAGTGTCTGTCGATGTGAACTGAGGAATGGTCCATGTATAGTTGTTAGCTACTCCATCTCGCCCATTCCCAAGGTGATTGGACCTGTAATTATTAACACAAATAGATATGTACATATATGTCCTTCTGGTCTATTGAGGTGGATACATGCATGACCATTGGCCAACATTCCTTTCTTAGATGTTTTATATATCAAGGACATAAAAATCAAATTGAATGATATATCAAATGCTGGTTATGAGAAAAAGGAGATGCATGTAGGAATATAGCAAGTTAAAACATTATGAGGCTTAACATAATGAAAAAAATATCACATCATTAAAGGCTTGCATACTGTGATTAATGTGATATTTTGATGACAGAAAGGCCCATTTCTCCAAAAGGAGGCAAAATAAAGAGCCAGGAGAGCAATGGTGTACATTTCCATAATGGACCCCTTGCTAAAAAGAACAATACAATATACATGTACAATAGCCACTTTTCATTCATCCAAAAATTATTGATGAAAGAATGGACAGATGGACAAGTGGACATTTCCTCACATGGTGACCCACAAATGGTGCCTTTAATAATGTCATCAGAATTTACCTAGACCAGGGTGCTTCCTTGCACTCTGGGGGATCCATAGCAACAAGGCAAGCCTCATCTGTAGATATGGAACCAATGAGGGGTCTGTCATATGGTATGGCCCAGATAAGTTGATGTCCATCTTTGGTCCCTGCAGCTTCGCATGCAGCTTGTGTTGTGAACTCTGAAATTATTGTTCAAGTACATGAGAGTATATGAGAGGACTGGACTGAATATGAGAAAAAAAATCAGAATTGGAATTAAGAAATCTCCTGTCTGATATGTTAGCCACTGTCTCATATGTAACTGACTGAATTCTGTTCATTTTTAAAAAATGAATGATAAAAGAGATTTTGCTTGCACAAAAATTTGCATTTCCAAAATATCTCTACCAATTGCATTGGTTGTCTAGCAGAGTTGATTATGTCAAGTGTTGTAAGACCATATTAAGAAGCCCTCTACAATACCTGGTGCTTTGTCCAAGTAGCTGGAGAATTCTGTCCATTCACCTCCATTATCAGCACAATCTGCAGGATTGTTATACTGTGACCAGTGTTTGGCCTGTCCATTCCCATATGTCTCAATGCATTCTCCATATGGTCGTGTATTGAAGCTGTTGTTGGTATAGTATCTGGAAAATAAATAATTAATATTTGCTTAGATCAAGAAAAATATAGTCAATTCAATTTTAATATATTTGTCATAAAAATTGCAAATTCAGAAGATGCATGTTGGATGTTTTGACAACATAGATATAGACACTACAAATTGGGTGTCCCAAAAAATTGAACCGCTTTTTAACAAGTATAATAGAAAATTTTCAATAAATTTGAGATATAAATTGCTTAGCAAAATGTCAAAAAGCGCTTCACTTTTTTTTGGGAGACCTGATATGCATGTATCTGACTTTTAACCCAAAAAATGCAAAAATAGAAAAATATACCAAGTTGAAAATAAAAAAACAAGAATTTGGACTAAGTCATAAATAAATGATTATTCTACTTTTTATTATCTAAGATGCATGACTTGCACTTCCATGCATATGGCATATGTGTATCAAAAATATCAAAAATATGAACAATATTGGGTCAGCAGTTTTTGAATTATTGCCAACCAACTGAACATCTTATTGTTTGCTTCATAAAATTATTAAAAATTTGTTTGGAAAAAAGAGAGCCTGAGAATATTGCATCAATGTGAGGAAAAATCTGGGGATTACACTTTAAGAACTTGATAACTTGATAATTTATCCCTTCTGTGCTACAGTATTCTTAGGGTCAGTGTTTGTGCCTATATCTACTGAGTTTAACTTACGCGCATTGACTAGCATTCTCCGAGAGCACTGCAATGTCCCTCCACACAGTTGGATGCCAGTATGGATAATAATCTCTCTCTTCCGGACACTCATAACCACGACGATTACCGTTAGGGTTTTGTCTTGTATAGATGGCAGCACTAATTCCACGACCATTGTTGGCTTTTAGTTTTTGGTCAGCAGTAAACAAACCTGAAAAAAACATTTTTAAGGAGAATCGAGAAAGGAATAAAAAGACAGCAAAAATTCAACTTTTTTATTTTAATCCAAATTCAGATTTTCTTTTGCTCAAAATAAATGAATTTTAACAGCAACTAACCTGCATTCCTCTCACGGCTGTTGCATTTATCGTACCATTCCCATGGTTCCTGTAGGCCTCTATTCACATTAACATTGTTGTTGCGGCGATTTGTAGCAGCATTTTGATTTTCATTCTGATTATTGGTTTGTTGATAGTTTTGAGTTGCAGTGGTTTCTCCATTTCTTATTTGACCTGCACCTTGAGCACCTGCAGTCAAATTGAGTAATTATTATGGATCAATTTAGAAAATGATAGCAAGGAGAGAAATTAGCATGGAGAAGATGCACACATATGCATTGTAAATAGTAAGGAAATAAAATAAAAGAGAATGAAATAGACATGTCAGAAATGAAACATCAAGCAAGAACATAACAAACGAAAAAATAATTATCCAATATCTAACATCCTACAAAATCTATACATACATGTAGAAGAAGTTTTATTGACTAATCAGTTGTGGCACTTTTAAATCTAATAAAAATAATAATAAATAGAGAAATATAAAAAAGGACAGACAAAGGACATATGGACGGACAGAGGTGTTGGCGATTCCAAAAGTTCAACATGCAACCCAAACATAACTTAAAACTTTTTTATACCTGTAGCAGAATTGATTTCAGGCATGCACATATACTGAAACACGATATTGCAATTCTGTTTATGCGGGTCTGTATCCTCGTTACCTCCACATCCATGCTGATTGGTCCATTCAAATGTCAAGAAACTCTTACCAGCATCATCTGTTAAAGTCTTGTAAGCTTTGGCGCTTTGGAAGTATGTCTATGAAAAATCATGAAAAACATTTTTGTGCACTGGTTTAAATTACAATATTTCTTTATTTAATAATTATGTAAATTGTTTAAATGACTTGATATAGTACTGTATCCTCAATGAATGACCACATAATTACATGACCTGAATGATCTTCTACTGGCAAATGACATTTACAATGAGCCTCAAAGCAGAACTAATGGTTGGCTCTATGTTCATCTCAATATGTAGCTTTATGTGTAATTGAGGAAATAAGAATAAAACTTTTTAAAAAATATATTAGGTTAAGTGATTATATTGTAAAGAATAAAATCAATTGACCCACTGACATAGTTGATGGAGATAGCCATTTTGCATCAAGGTCACCGGAAGTGTGATGTCATATCAACGTTATTCGCCATATTGTAACCCAAGAAAGATGGTAAAATATGCCCCACAACATATTCTACTAAATCTATAGTCAGATTTGAACTATTGAGAACTTCTAGATAACTTTGAAAAAAATTATCTGAGAACTTCTAGATGATCAATTGATCAATTTGAAAAATACCTTTTTGACCTTTTTTGACCTTGAGAAGGTCAATGAAGGTCAAATCTCAATTCTAAAGTCCGAAAAAATTGTCAATTTGAAGCAAGTTGAAAAAATACCTTTTTGACCTTTTTTTTACCTTGAGAAGGTAACATAACTTAAAAAAATTGGAATGTGCCCGACTATATCTGCGACTCCTCAAGGTCAATGAAGCTCAAATCTAAAGTCAGATTTGAACTCCTGATAACTTGCAGATGATTTTGAAATATGTTCGTTTATGCATCTATCGAAAACATAAGTAACCCAATCAGTCTTTTTAATAACATACTTAATATTTTAATGAATTATACTTCTTTTGTGAGCTTCTTTCCCCTTTAAATAGAGGTATAATACATACCATTCTATATTGATTCTCTTCACCATTCCCAGCCTGGGCATTCTGCCCTTGATCCCCAACATTGTAACCACCTCTGTTGTTGTTCTGAAAAATGTATGAACAAGTAAAATAACTATGTAAAACTGCAAGTGCATTTGTATTATCAATAACTAAATAACCTCTGCCATTCCATGCCACATATTAGATGTTTAAGTAATGAAAATTGTTTTACAAAGATGGCATTTAACAATTTGTGAACAGAAAAGCAATGAGCAAGACTTTAAATGAATGATGCCTATTGATAAGATGACTAAGTGTTTGAGATTTTGTCACTTTTGGTTGACTTAAATATTGTGAAAACTGGGGAAGTGATCTTCATGTCTACTTTGGCATTTAAGGCAGTGCAGACTGCAACATTTATTACTTCACTGCCAAGCAACTCCACATTTAAGTCAGCAATTAGCCTCCTGAATCTCAGCCTCTAAAATCGGTTGAAACCAGAGAATTTTTCATTTTTGCCACCTTTTGACATTTAACAACATACCTCTACAACTCTAGATACTCATAAATTAGATGGCAGAGATCATTTCTACACATTTTAAAACAATGTTTGTGTATGAAAATTGCTAAAATAAGAGCAATTTTAGCTTCACAGGGATGTATCAAAGCAATTAATCACTGATTTCTGATTCTTACCTTTGATAAGATTCTAAATTAACAAGATCAAAATGTCATTAATGATACATATCAATAGAAAAGCAATGAATGTTTATGTTTATGTTAATTTTTTCAGGAGAGAAAGAAGAGACAGTGTGTGTGTATATATATTATAATAGCTCATGTTGTTAGTTAGTTGTAAAACATGATGCCCTGGACAACTGCTCAAAAGACATTAGTTATACTAATGTCTTTTTAGCAGGTATACAAGGCATCGTGTTTTACAACTAACTAACAGCAGTAGCTATACACACACAGTCTCTTCTTTCTTTTCTGAAAAAAAATGAACACAATTGGATAAGTATTTTCCAAGATATGGCGTTTTTTAACACCCTGTCATATGACACAAAAATTGTGGAGAGCCAGAAACCATTAAGTTCAAATTGAGGTCTTTCAGTATCAAAATTCAAACCTACGGTATATACACTTGTATTATATCGGTGTTGTAAATGCATGTATAAACACATTGTAGTTGCATTCCATGGATATATTGATTTCATAAGAGAATGTTCATAAGAAACCAATGGATTTTAAGAATCCTAAACTTTATAAACTTTCTGTTAAAATGGCCCCCTCCCATGTGTAACAAACCAGTGTGTTTTTCTCATTTTGCAAATATTTTCCAGTTTTGTTTTGTTAAGATGTATTGCTTTGTAAAGACGTATTACTTGCATATAAATTGCATGCACAGACATACATTACAACAATGGCAAAGATAGTTTCTACAGTAACCCCTTTCCCTCTCTGTATCTGCTGATAACATGGAATTATTTGCTGTCTCATAATTACATAGCAGAATTGCAGAAATTGTTATTTAATTAAACCTCAATTAAAAATACCTGTGAGTCAAATAGTCTGTTAGCATTTTGTCGATTTGCTGAATTTTCATTGAGTCTGTTATTTGAGCCTCTTGGAACGTGTAAGTAAACATCGGCCATGACACATGTTGCCGCCAGCAGCAAACAGGTTGAACGCAGCATTTTCTTAGCTCTGCTTTGTCTGGCTCAATATTCTGAAAATGTGTTATTGTTTTGTTATTTTTAAACATAATAAGATTGCGAACTAAATAGCGAATCATCATCCATAGTTAAGCAAACAATTACACTGTCGTGTTGGGCTGAATTTACGATCCCTGATCATAAATAAATGAAGGACCCACGGTCCTGTGCTCACACAGTTTGGAACCTTCAGAAAAATTTATATCCTGACTTTCAAACAAAAATATTGATTTGGATTTCTAGTCTCGAACTTTGAGAAACTTAGATAGCATAGTTGTGTGACCTAGTTTGATGACCTTTGACCTTGAAAATTTTACTTATTCAGAGCTCAGTAAGGTCTTTTGTGATTAAGCTGACCAAAATTTACATCCAAAATTCAATTTGAAAAATCAACTTTTTTGACCTTTTGAAGGTCAAGTAAATGTCAAATCCTAAAACTAATGTCAGATTTGAACTCCTGGCAACTTGTAGATGATTTTCAAAAAAAATTGGTCAAATTGAAGAAAGTTGAAAAATAACTTATTTTTACTGTTTTTTTTACGTCAAATATCTCAAAAACAGTAAAAATTTGATGCTGACATATATTGAGAAATATGTAGGGAATGCTTAAATCTATTAATGATATAATTTTTTGCAGGAAATGATCAAGTATAAGGCAAACTTTAAGAATCTTGTCAATCACAAAACCTGCCATTGACTTTATACATGAGAAAGTTTCCTGAAAATGACTTTTAAGTCCTACTTTTTGTCAAATTTTATAGAGTAAACACCAAAAACTGTACTTCCAAGGGCTTTGAAATCTTCAGAAGATATAAGTTGCATATACACCAACTACTAAAAGTTATTTGAAAGTTCTCCTTCAACAAAGTGTCTAGTATTTACAGAAAATTTGACTTTTTGACGTCAAAATCCGCAATTTCTCGGAAACCGGGCGAACTTGGGAAATGGCGATGATAGGTCAAATAGGCATTATGGATATGCATAAAATGAATGTGGATATGACTCAATCCAAATAGCAGTTTTAATTTGTGCGGCCAATGTTGACGGACGGACGGACGGACCAACGGACGGACGGACGGACCAACGGACGGACGGACCAACGGACGGACGCCTGGTCGATCCCATAGGCTCACTGTGTGAGCCAAAAACAGCAACTCCACAGAGTAGCAAATCCCACCAAACAAAACAGATGTTGATAATCTGCAGTGGCCATCTTGAAAATCTATTCTAAACAGAGCATATCAGCATAAAATTTGAACCAAATCCATCCACTGTACATATTTGATTCATCAAAAATATGTTTTTGTCCGAGAAATGACAGCTCTTTATAGGGCAAAGATAGAGTGTACATGCTTTATATTTGTTTATATTGCACTTTTAGTCTTAAGTCTTTGGAATGAGTTAATTAGTTTAACGCCCCCCCCCCCCCAGGTTGCCAAAGATTACTCTCTATTATCGAAAGATTTTGTGTGCACTCCCCATGATTTTGTACCTGAAAATAACATGGGCAGGTATAGCAATTTTTCAAAACTGTTTTCGGAAAACGATACTATAGCGTCATAACTGCTTCATTATTCGTTTGTAATAAATTCCCTTATACGAATATTAATGTAACATTTACAAATAAAATGCCTAAGCTACAAATACATATATGATGTATCAAATAGACAAATAAATCCATAAATCGGATGCATTTTATGTTTGTAAGGACTGGAAATATTTGTAACTAACAATTTATTATTCGCCAACTACAGCTAAGTTGCCAGTTATTCTATCGCAGAAATGTATTTTTACGAATAATAATCTTGCAAATTACCCATGAATCATTGCAGAAAGCAAAGAAATATTTGTACATTAACGAATAATAAAATGAAACTTTACAAATATACATGTAAATATGAGTTTACGGATATAAATATGAGTTTACGAATACAAATGTGAGTTAACAAAATATAAACTGCAAGTTTCAAGGCATAGGTCACATGACACGAGAGTTTTAGGTGTGTGAGGGGGAGGGGGTGATGACTTTGACCATGTCTTGACATGCATGTCTCGGTGAGAATGATCATGTGATCTCAATGAACCAATGAAAAAGGAATATATAAGTGCAATTTACGAATACAAATGACAATATTTATGAATACAAATGACAATATTTACGAACAGTAAATGTGCACTTTTACGGAAACATATTACCTTGTTACGAAAATAAATTCGACAATTAAAAAATGAAATACCAAGGCAAGTAAAAATGAACTTAAATTTATTTGAATACGGATATACAATGTGTCACTTACGAATGCTTTTGAGGACTTTTGAATGTATTTCAGTATAAAACATGTATGTGAAGCTCCAAGTGTTCTGGGCTACCCAAGTATTCCGACTCTTGGCGAAGTATTCCGACCTGGCCCAAGTATTGTGGGTTTACTTATTTTATCAAATACACTCGATACAGTGATTTTCAATTTTTAATTATCAATTTTAGGTTTCTACAGAGATGGCTGTTGAAATTAAGCTAATGAAACCACTTATAATGTGGCTGCCTCGTGCACTAAAGGCTTTCCATTTATTCATATAAACTAACAGGGTACCTATTGGGAATGTAAAATCCCAAGTTGTTAGACTTTTGTACCATGGGACACTCCTGAGCAACAGAATATTTAGACAGAATATATCAATATAATTAGGCTGGGTCTCAATTTCAGGAACATACCTCTTCTTTGAAAAATGGGCCTAGATTTTAAAAATTGGGTCCATATTTTTAAAAATTGTGTCAAAACTTTCAACGATCCAACATTTTAGAACTCTCTTTTTTCATCCTAGCATTTTTCCAGCAGAATTTTATTTTTTGAACCCTCTATTGTGAATTATAAGATATGATAAAATAAGCGATCTCGGAACACTTGGGTTGTCAGAGCAGTTGGGCAAGAGTCAGAACACTTGGGTAGCCCAGAACAGTTGGGCTTCCACACACGTATATATGTTGTAACGAAACAAATTAGAGTAACGAACAGAAAATAAAACAATGAATAAAAATACTTTTAACAAATTCAAAAGTTCAATATACGAATACGTAAAATACGAATAATGAAGCAGAAAACAATCCATACCATCACCTACATGTAATAATAGATGATACAACAGATACATTACATACAATACCTAACATTGGTAAGCGATCACCAAATGTCACTCCATTCAAGTCACAGTTTCTCAAATATTGAAAACAAATCCCTACCTCTCAAATCAGGTTTCCACGAAATTCAGAATTATATATCCAAAAATATGAGTTCTTCGTTTGCTCCACTTTACAAAGTTCATACAGGCAAATTTATAGAAAGATACATACCTCCGATATTTAAGGATTTCAGTGAATTATGAGCTATTAAGACTTACCCTCCGCTGTCGTGATTTCTGTTTATGATTCACCTGCTGATAGTTCAATTAACCATATATGGAGTTGACATATTTACATAAATTAATCCGCAGCTTAGATAATAAGAAATTAAGCCGGAAATCATCACATTCGTGACAAAACACAAAACTGTCGATAATAACAAATACAAAAGAAATCACAAAGCAGAGATATATTGAGCAACAATCAAATATAAATAAATCAAACTTTACATCGCGGAAGATTATCAGTGTAACAAATCATATACGGAAGGAAAAGGCAGACATCTCAAAACATCGAACTAAAACTCATAATTTCTTTACAAGGTGGTCGCGCTGGCGTGATCCAAATCAAGCGAAATTAAAGATGAAGCTATATTTTATCTTACTGGTATGCGTTTATGCAGTGAATTGCGACATGTATCTTCATAACCCAAGGTAAAGCTTTACTTTTAATTTTTAAATTCGCATGGCACAATTGTGACTCGAAAGGGTCACCCTATTATCATTTACATCATGGTGTACATTGTATATATTTTATTTTTTGATAATTAATTGATTACTAGTAATTTTTTGTTATATAGTTCTGAATCACTTCTGTGCGCCAATCTAAAACCTAAAAGAATCCAAATACCACATAGATATGCATTACTTTTTACTTGGAATGCTAATTATCACAATGAACCAAGTTCTGGGGATATAGTGAAGCCCTCCATCCATCTGTCTGTCTATGGAGGGGAAGGTTCTGGGTTCAATTCTCGCATGGGGCATTGCATTTATCTGCAGATCGGGGGTAGAGTAGATGGTAAATATTATATTGTGACACATGACTCTACAGTCTTAGAGCCTCTTAGCTAAAAGGGCCTTATGTCTCAGGGGTAGAGCATCTGTCTATGGAGCGGTCCTGGGTTCAATTCTCACATGGGACATTTAGCACATCCCTTTCATGTCTGGGCTCAAAGTTGATCCTGTTTGATGGATCCGAGGCATTTGTTCGCTGGTATGCACAGGCTTACCAGATGGTTGCATTCCAAATCCCCCCTGAATGTTCATTTTTCGCTTTGTTCAACTCGTGTTCCCGAGGTGATGTACTACTCATAAAAATAGCGCTACATCTGTAAGCCCAAGTAAATCATTTAAAACATATACATGTACTGTCAAGGATTAATTGTTGTCTTTCAGGGGAAGTAACAATAGATTAGATGAAGCTGGTAGGGAAAGGAACAATGCAAATAGGTGAGTAACCTCATGGAAATAGTGAGTACAGTGTGCTGTACCATTGAATATAACTATATAGTGTCTCAAAAATCGAAAATTGGATAAATAATACCACATGTTCACAGCAGTCTATACATGTGATTTCACATTCGTTAAATACCTGTATTTATTTTTCTAAAAATACACCTTTCATATCGTTGACTTACACATGGATGGAATACCTTGAGGTATTTTTAGTCACATGGTACATGATTGACCAATCACATGCTGATTATCACAATTTTTGTTTGTATAACTATAATATTGCGAGATCTAAGAAAATGTTGTATATGCTTTTTTGTTCCGAAAAGGTTCAGAAAGATCTCTTATTTCATTCGCAAGGATTGGTAGAAAGGAACAAAAAACAATTGCACTAAAAACAAAAATTGGTCACAAAAACAATAATATATGATATATATAAATCATGTTTGCATTAAACATGTTAAATCATGTTTGCATTAAACATGTTAAATTGTTGTCAATCAGTGACCATTACATAAAGGAGCATGTTTTTATTTACAGAATGTTTTCAATAATTGGTTTGAGAGAAAAACAATATTTAATTCAGTTCACCATTTTGATACCAATCCTTTAAATATTTTTGGATTCAAAAGAATTTTAACTTATTTTGGTAGAGATTAAAAGGTGGATTGGATCGAGTGGATTGGATTCATGTAAAAGGTGGATTGGATCGGGAATCTTCAAAATGTCGAATTTCTTATAAAAATAATTCTGTTGATCTCCCTCTTAACAATTTCCCTCTACAGTATTACAGATCCCTTTTGAGAAATCAGAACAAAGCAATGACAAATACATACTCCAATTAGTTCATGGACACTCTTAAGTATTTAACTGCTTTCCTTGTAAATCAACTTTTGTAAGACATAGATCTTTAGAAAAAGAAAACCTGTCATTCAAATTGATGTGTGAATGTTCACAAAGCATTTCTGGCACGTTCAGTTTGGATTGAAAACGGATGATATGGATCTTCAAACCAGTCTGCCTTATGATTTATGAAATGTCTCAAATTACACTTGGAATGAATAAGATCGTATATCAGAAAGCGGGTACCAGGTCATCCTTCTAGCCCACCCAAGCAAAATAATATTACATCTATTATTTGACATTGTGCAAGTGAAGAGAGCACCAATCTTCCTAGAGGGAGATCAATAGAATTTTTTTAAAGGAAAATCCATATTTTGAAGATAGCCAATCCAATCCACCTTTTACATGAATCCAATCCACTCGATCCAATCCACCTTTTAATCTTTACCCTTATTTTTATATGTCTTGCTAATTCCACTCATGTCCAATGCAAAATAATACCTACAAAATAAAGCTCGAATGACAAATAATTGAATAATAAAATTTCAGCATCATCTTTAATGTCATTAATGTATGCTCCCTTTCTCATATTTTATTTTTCATGTTTGAATATGTCCTATGTCAATGACTCACTAAGTTAGAATCATACACGGAAGAATGGTTCTATTGAATAGACACATTATTCATCTTTTACATCAGTTAAAGTGACTTTTAATATTTTTATCACTTTTTCAATTTTTGATTAAATATTATATTACCATATCATGAATATAGTGAATGAGTCATTGATCCATCATGTCTTAACTTTTGAAAAAAGGAAGCTTGAATCATACCAATAAGTTAACAAAATAGTTAATGTTTAACTTAAACTATGCCAAGATTACAATAAAAATGTTTGATCCCACTATTCCATGATCTATGTCTCCAATCATTTCATATTGCAGTTACAGAATCATCTTTATTAGATTGTGGAATATTTAAGATGCGAATCAGGATGTCTGGAGAAATAGACCACTTTCCTAATTTTCATGACATTTGGTTCATTTCTGCTATTTTAAATAAAATGTATGGGAGAATCCCATTTTTATTTGCCCACCCTACTAATGTGATGTTTATATATGAAGGGCCATTATCAAATGATGCCCATGGAATATTCAGACTATACATGAATGTTACATATTTTCCAGGATGTTTGACTCTCAGAACAATAACAGAGGAGGCTACAATGTTGGAAGTCTTTATTATTACCAGGGATCAAAACTCTCCATAGAATGGTAGGTCCTCAATTAGCCTCTGGTAGGTCCTCAATTAGCCTCTGGTAGGTCCTCAATTAGCCTCTGGTAGGTCCTCAATTAGCCTCTGGTAGGTCCTCAATAAGCCTCTGGTAGGTCCTCAATTAGCCTCTGGTAGGTCCTCAATTAGCCTCTGGTAGGTCCTCAATTATCCTCTGGTAGGTCCTCAATTAGCCTCTGGTAGGTCCTCAATAAGCCTCTGGTAGGTCCTCAATAAGCCTCTGGTAGGTCCTCAATTAGCCTCTGGTAGGTCCTCAATAAGCCTCTGGTAGGTCCTCAATAAGCCTCTGGTAGGTCCTCAATAAGCCTCTGGTAGGTCCTCAATAAGCCTCTGGTAGGTCCTCAATAAGCCTCTGGTAGGTCCTCAATAAGCCTCTGGTAGGTCCTCAATCACCATTTGCAAGAATCACCAGCTTTGTCCTAAACTCTTTATATAAATGATAATTCTCAGAACTCCCCTATAGTCAATCAAAGAATGTTGTATTGCTGAACCAGACAATATATGAATAATAAAATCAAATATGTTAACACACTGCTTTGGTAGCCTTTCATTTCTTAATATATTGCAATTGAAAACATTTTTTGTTTTCAGGACGAACCAACATTCATGCCAAAATCGTAATGCCCATTGTGAGGTTGTATTGCAATACATGTGTGGGGACTTAGTCAGGGATGGTGTCACAACGACGTAAGTTAGAAAATGAATTGTGTTCAAATGTTGACAATTTGAGAAAATAAAGTTTGTTTTGTCATATGGTTTAACCTCCTCCCCCTCCCATGTAACAACATTTTTAAATGATTAACACCCATTAAATTGAAATTGTTCTTTCTCTCTATTTGAATATTTAATCAATTAAAAAAGAATCACTTATTTATGTATTATCCGTTTGGTATTTCAGAACTATTCCAGACAATCCGGCACAATGTGAAAACTATGATTGTAACACAGATACAAGATATGGAATGAATGAAGATTATGACTATTATCTCAACTGTAAACTTCGCTACAGAAACAAAGGATTGTTCACCGCCGACCAGGTGAGTAATTTCCCCAATTTAAATTTAATCTCATCAATTTAACCTTTTGATAATTTGGTTTATTTGGTTATGTTGAGATAATTCATTAAAGTCCACCCAATTTAATTAAATTGTCAACAATGTTAATCACATTATGTAATTTATTGAAGAGTGGATGTTGAATGTACTTAAAGTGAAGGGCTAATTCACAGATGGTTTGATAATATTTGCTTCAACTATGTGGGTAATTTGGTGAAATCAATGTCAATCCTTAGCTATTTGTTTTGAATCCTTTTTCATTCCTTAGTTATAAATGAATAACAAACTAAAATAATTAAACCAGCTTTTTCCATAAATCAATGTATTATCATTTTCATGATTGATAAAAATGAAATATTTCAAAAATTGAAAATTAATATGACAAGAAAATTTAGAGAAAATACAAGGAGCATCATTTAAAACACAAATGAAACCCCTAATCAAATGAAATATGAAAGAAATTGACTTTGTTTTACAGAATCTAAATGGCAACAATAGGCAAACTGCTATAAATACAAGACAGAATCCTGGAGGAACACGTAGAGGATATGAGTGCCCAGAGGAGAGGGATTATTACCCTTATTGGCACCCTACACCTTGGAAGGTAGGTACTTGCCAGAAATGATCCATATAGACAGGTGTTCATATGAAAGGCAATCCCTGTCTCAGAAAACCCAGAAATCAGAACTACTATTGAATAAGTATTAACTATGTATCTCCCAACTCATATTGTTAATTTACAATTGCAGGACATTGCTATCTTGACAAATGATGCAACAATGTGCCCATACTACCAGAGTGAAAGCCAGAACGTAAAGTCAAAGTTTGCTTGTGACATTCCACGTGAAGTCATTTATGCTCAGGCCAACCAGAACTTCAAGATTCCAAATAACAAGGAAGATTGTGAGGTATGTTGCATTTACCATATTCTTTATTCATCTGTGAACTTTCTCATGTCATGGTTCATTTCCATTACCTCAATTTGTTTTTTCCAACCTCCCATTTGTCAACTTTAACATGCACATTTCAATTCTATTTTCAATATGATTAAAATGCCATAAACGTAGGTGATAGTCAAATAAAGCGTTCCATTTGGCAAAGTTTATGTTACCTATACATGAAATATCAAATAATTCCTTATATGTATGTGTAGACTTTTCCGTTTTCTCAACAATGAGGGTTTTGAGTTTATGTTTCTATTAAGGTATATTTATTTATTCTTTTATTTAGGTACACATATCAGTTTTTTCTTTCATAACACTTATAAAATTGTCCCTTGGAATTACTCATCTGGAATAAATAGATGCAGGTTGACATGAAATCATTGAAGTGCATATTATGTACTTTCATGTCATTACAAAATGTGGGAATTATTTTTGACACCATAACATAAAGTGTTTCATAAAAGATAAATACATACTTAGATTTAAGAGTTTTGGGTCAAAAAGTTGAGAATGATATGTAAATAAAGTAAGTGATTTGATTAGTAAGTGATTAGAATAAGCTCTAAAAATGAGCTTATTTTTGATTAGTAAGTGATTAGAATAAGCCCTGAAAATGAGCTTATGCTTCAGATATTATTGTGCTTACATTTGAAATAGCCATTTGAAATAACCTGTCAACCTTGACTGGCTTGGCAGTTGAAGAAAGTAGTCCCAGTTAGTACTTCATGTTAAATAGCAACTCTTTGGCAAAATTGTAATGTCATACTCTTCAAGAGTGATTGGCCTAGTCTCATGCATCTGAATTTACCCAACCAACCAGAGTCCATTATTCCTTCAAAGATGGTTCTTGATTATATGTTAACATGAGTGTGCCTCTGAAGCATTCTCTGACTGGTTTTAAGGAAAACTGTAGAACAATCAGTCGTAGTCAGAGTGTAACATACTAGTGATGACCTCTACAAGGGTAATATATAAGATTTACTTACATATGTCTTTAATCTTCCTGGTTGTTTTTCCAATGACATGAGTTTGTAGTTAAAATTGGAAAGGTGAATCATGTAAAGGTGATCTTTCATAATAAGATGTCATCTTAAGGTTGTATATTATCAAAGTAAGGTATTATGCTTTCATGTCACTTGTGTACTATAAGACCAATGTGTTTGACCCAGCACTATTGGATTTTGGGCCCAGTCTAAGGTGGTCCTCAAAACAAGGTGTTTTCCCAATGTCTCCTTTGTAGATATTCAGGTCCTTCCATGTCTTTGGAGTGCATCTCTGCTAGCAAAGGATGCTGTGTATAACAACATTTTGGAACCTTATTTTAACATTTTGGAACCTTATTTTTGTATTTCTTTTGAACTATATTTTTCGCTCTATTTCTCTTAGCTCTCAATTTTATTTTACCTTTTCTGCAACTTGTATCTACTTTCATGCTCCCAATTAAGTTTGATAAGTTTCTCATGCCTCATATTTATTTTTAGGCACTAGAGCTCCCTGCAGTTGCTGGTGTGAATGCCACCAATGGAGTATGGAAAGAGTTCCCTGCCCATGGTATTCCAGCCCCTGAGTGTCGAGAGACTGAGCTTTCCAGGGACAATCAGTTAGGTAATGGGATTGGGGGATACCCCCTGACTCATAATTGGACCATTCCTGAGGATTTTGTTGAGGACAAATGTGTTCTAAGGACAAGGTAAGAGCATAATTGTAAATTTGGTCAAATATTAGTTTGTCATTTTTGAAAAATTTATAACAAATGAGGGGGGGGGGTGTAAGGAAGCTAAGTTTGGCTTTCAAAAATACGAATGTTTTGTCTCCCATTATTTAAAATGCAGTATGGAGGATATGACAATATGCCTATGATGATAATATTGACCTTTGATAGGATATCTTATTGATAAGAGATGGCTAGAATTTGTCAACAAATCAGTTTAATCACCAGACTTTTACCTGTGCAACTATCTCTCATGATAATACCACAATGGACACTTCTGTAAAGTATATTATACACATGTTTCACATGAGACTTTTCATGAGACTTTACAGTTAATCCTCCTTGTTTCCACTATTCTTCATTGGACCTATGATAGATATGAGTCTTTATACATTTCATGATTTTATTACTAGAAATGCAATATTTGACCATATTATGAACTATTGGTCTATCATACCTTCAAACAAACAATTATCTGAACCTTGCGTTTGGGGTCAAGTATCATTGTTTCATTGTAAGTGTTATTGAATAAATTCCTATCTCTACTTACATGTATTATAGGTAGTAGGTAGACATCGGAGCAATACATTTACACTTTTCAGTAATCTGTTAGCCCCAATTAAAATGATTTTAAGTGGCCTCAAGACACATCTTAATTTAGAAGACCGTTCCATTTATTTAGGGTCAATTTCATAATTGGCTGTTTTCATGGGCAGAAAAGGGAAGGAAAGAAAAATTCTGATTTGGCTCATATTTAGATCTGTTTCTTGCAAAATATGCCAGATTTTTCAGAAAATGAGGTTTATTTTTGAAAACAAGCCCTCAAAAGGCCCATTTTTCAAGTTTTAGGGAGCCGTCTCATGCCAGCTAGTAGTTTTTTGTTACAACTGTGCACATTATGACTTTGTATATAATGGTATTGCAATTACCATCCAACTGTCATCTTGTTTGTGAAGTGACTTAAAGCTTTAAAAACAGTGTCAATGACGTTTTTCAAAAAATTAGTTGCTGTAATTTATTGAAAAAAAAATTTGCTATTTTGATAATTCTTTCATAATCAAGGGAAAATCTCTTTAGGGATAAATACCCATAACATATTTAATCCATACTTAATGACTTTGTATGATCATCTTTTGCGAATCATGTTGTCTTACTTAGCCATTAAGCCTTTAATATCTTGGATGCACATCCATAAATAATTTTTAACACTATTATAATTTTGATTGCAATTGCACTTTCCAAATTTGATGCTTTAATGATCTTTTTAAAGATGCTCAACATAATAATCTCCTTAGAGCTGTGATAATACCTAATATTTTGTTATCTGTCTGCCCTTTTTGCACCTAAATATGTCAAATGATATAAGTTGTAAAATCATTGGTTTACTTCGAAAAGATTTTTAAAATAGATCTTTTATGTTATTTTTGATCTTTTATATCATTTACATGTATATAAATGTTAATATACATTTAAAGATTATCTAATGTCACAATACTACCACCCTTCCAATAGATTGTTCAAATGTCCACCAAGGTATAAATAGATATATACGTTTGCTTAGTTTCCCATTGAATGCTATGATATACTTGTATAATTTCACTAGTGATACATTAATGTTTTCCAGGTACAATATCTCTACAGGAGATTATGAAGGTTGGAATGACACGGATGCTTCTAACAATGCACAGGGGAACAACCAAGCTGCTCAGCTGGACCTGTCTGAGAAGTAAGTGCATGATAAAGGTTGTCACGCTTTTGTATGTAAATAACATGGAAATGATTGAAATAAGCAAGGAATATCATTAAAAGGCATGAAAGTCACCTCCTAAATTATATATAAAGAATAAAAACAATGTTTTCCTACTCGTGTGTTAAGTACTACAAAACTAACTATGACTTTACCACTAGGTATGGGCTTGATGACCAGGATGCTGCTGCAGATAGAGGCTATGAGTTTGAGAATAATCCTAACACCCAGATCTTTCCAAATGCAGACTTTACTCTCCAGCTGGCAATCAACACAGCTCAACTTGGACGTACATTCCAAGACAGGTAAATATTCACCTAATATACCATTATATGTTAGTGTTTTTTATGTGAGTGTCAATGTCTTGTTTCAAGATATAGAATTGGCAATGAGTTGAAGCAGCAAGTATACAGCCATGAAGATAGACGATATACTAAATTTCAAAGATTTCACTGAAAAGTAAATATCATTCAAATATATAAAGAGAATGCGGACGAGTGTGACATGAGTGTCAGCATGCATTATCAAAGCTCCTCCCACATTGGTCACTCATTCCTTATTTGGATCAATATAAAGTGACATCCCCCCATAAATTAAGGATAAAGAGTAATGTATTTCCTTGTTGTAGATCACACACATTTGCAGTCGTGGAGCGGCCAGCAGACTTAAAAGATGCAGTAATTCACAACATCAATGTTCGTGGCAAGCGAGGCAACATTGTACAGGTGAGGAAAAATGCATGAATATTAGTGTGTACCAAGCTAGAATAAAAAACTATACTCAATACCATACCTATATACTATACCATGCTATGGACTTTCCATCCGGAGAATTGTCTATTCCATTCAAAAGTGCGATACTTTTCACCCTGCGTCTTGTTATTCTGATTTCTGTTCTCATGTTTTGTGATTTAAATGTTCACCTTATTTAGAGACCTACATATTTTTGTTTGTTTTGTATTCACATAACATTCATATGATAAACTGAAACTACTATTGTAGGTCTACCCAGGTGTGGAGTATGATTTTGTTCCAAATACATTGGAAATGGCAGCTGGGGAACATGTACATTTCCAGTAAGTTAAAAGTTATCCTTGATATACAAGGACTAAATCTCTGACTGTGCACAGGCCCACTATACTTAATTTAGAAGAAAAAATCAAAAAAAAATCATTGAAACATGTTACATTTCCGAAATCATATTGGGTGCAGATCTGCCCCCCCCCCCCCCTAACCATTAGTATAATTCCCTATAGCCTAACCGTTTAAGTTATGAAAACATAGTAGCCACTTCATGGCTCTTCTCTTTTTCTATGCTAGTTCCTCATATTACCCTATTTTGAATTTTATCCAACACCACCAAATCATCTCACTAATGTGTTTTTTCCAATTATAGGTGGACAGGTTCAAATACAAATCCTCGTAATAATGATGGTCAAGGTCTTGCTGGAACAGACAGATCTAATGTTGTCCTTCAACGAGCCCAGATTTACCCAGAAGGCTCTGGAATAGCATACCAACCTGGAGAAAAGTTTGGTCACTGGGGTCGAAGTTACCCTGGTGATGTGAGAAATATGTCATTCCTGGATCTCCCATTAGAGGATTTACAAAATCTGGCAGTCCTTACAAACAGTAAGTTCACACTTGTATTGTACATTGTGTATTCTTTATGAGTATCATTGATAAAATCGAATACAGAACCTATCTAGGATATATTAACTGGTCTATAATATCTTTTATAAAACCAAAGGGTCTTTCCAGTTTTTAATATTGACATATAGAGTACTGTTTTAACATTGATGTGGTATACAGAACAGCATTTAGCTCAAATATATATTGTAGATTGATTGAAAAGTATAAGAGGAAAGACCTTCATCAATTGTGCCTTTTTCAGAACAATTCCGTGGTGAGTTATCAGAACTTGACGATGCAGGAACTTATTATGACCTTGGGCCTCGCAAGGTGACCACCACAGGGAGCTATCATTATATGTGTACCAGGAACAACAATTTCTCAAACCGAAGTCAGAAAGGTCGTATCATTTGCTTGGATCACTCAGTGGCGGATGTCAGTGTAGGATGGAATGGTGGCAGTATCAATATTGGAAGGTACATGTAGTTAATTTGTACAAGTGTTAACTATTAATCGCTTTTATTTACTATTACTATTGATGCTTGAATTTCCAAAGATGAGGTTTCCATTCCTCAGAAATCTGTTTAATTTGTCAGTGGTGATTTGATCAATTTTTGGCATAGAAAAGGTAAGAGAAGTAAAGTTGGAAGTTGATGCCTGGCCAGAGTTCCAGGGCACATTTAATGAGTATACTTATATTTAATTGAAATAAATACCTCAGGTTTAGATCTCTATACCAATTTGATTAATAGAGTGTTTTTTAAACCAGTAATTTGGACTCCTTGGTCAAACTGACTATTATGAAAAGTGAACCACTAAAACTGATGCATATTCAAGTTTAAGGGAATTTTGTAATACCCTGCCATGTTAATTCCCCTGAATCAGCCACCTGGTGGCGAAACTGGTAACTACCTACTCGCATCTAAGTAATTGAATAGAGTACTTATTATTTGCCAAAATTATTCATAATTGAGTTCAATTTATTTTCAGAAAAGCTGCCATCAATATAGAGCCTGACACATTTGCTCAGTTGCAGAAATTGCGCATAGAGGAATGGGAGACGGCAGTTGCAGAAGCAAGGATTGCAGAATTGGGCAGATCTATCAATGTTAGTACACTATTCACATGGGATTCAAGGTCTCCTCATGGGGTTTTAAAGCTCCCTCCATACAGGGAGTTATTTTTCCTGCAATAACTTTGAGATCTCCCTCTGTGGGTTTTGACAAATCCTTGCATATCCACACAAAACATTTAGGACATTTACATGGCTTTCTACAGAGGTCCTTTCTACACAGAATTTCAAGTATCAACACTAAAAAATCCATAAGCTCCCCTATTGGTTTGAATGGATTGTTTAGATTTAATCAACATCCAAGAACTACAATAAGGAAAAACCATATTTGCAAACAATTAACATACTCATAAATGAGGAGTCAAATAGAAACCTTATGCAAGGGTTGTGACATTAACAAGTAGTTGAAATAGTGATTGCGTTATGAAATGGCAAAACCATTTGGCTTATACTTATATATTGCTTACTTATCTGATTGTTTGATTGATATAAAATATTTTTTTGTCTTATTAATTCATTGATTTTCTGTTCCAAGGTTGGAGACGGTTATGCAAGTAACTACATCAGATTGCTTCCTGAGACCAAACTCACCCAGGGTGACAAGACATTCACTGTTCAGATGAAAGTTGAGCAACCAGGCACTAAGAATGTGGGAGTTTATCGCACAAATAATGACTTTGCAACTTGGACCAGACTCGATGCTGATATTAATGATGGCCTTGCAACCTTTGAAGCCCAGGGTGGTGGGGTTTATGTTGCCAGAACTGAGCCACAAGTTGGTGTTATTGTTGGTGTTTGTATTGGACTTATTGCCCTAGTTGCTATTATAATTGGAGGAATATTGTACTTCAAGAAAAATCCTGATAAATTGGAAAGCTTGCGAGGAGGAGCTAGAAATGCAGGCAGATCTGTACAGAATAAGGTGTAGAATTTATTCCATTTGAATTTCAAGATTTGTTAATGCTCAGTTTTAAGTAAAACATTAACTGACAGTTAGTACATGGATAACATAAAATAATTTAAACATTTTGAGCAATGAACTATGAAACTATGCAAAACAAACAAAAACAGACTAATCCTGCACATTTTATTTTTCATGCTTTTGGTATACGGTATATTGATCACTTATATTCCGAAAAGCCAGGGCCAAAGCTGATTTCAAGATCATTGACTTTGTTAGATATAACCTACACATATTTTATACACAGTGTCACTCATTGACCGTGCAATTGTCTCATTAACTTTACAGTATAACAGTATTAAGGTGCAATGTTTTGTTGAGCTAATTGATCATTAATATGTATATTTCTGTGAGTATTGTTCCTTGGTGAAGCTATTCATTTGCTGCGCACCTATTGTATGAAACAATATGCACATTAACATTGTAAATTAGTCATAAACTGATCAGTTAATATATCATTCTGTTCCATGGCTCAAAGTTTATCTCTAATTTACAAATATGTGAATATTTTTTCAGAGAATCATTATATCATGTTTTAAAGTTTGGATTGTGATACAGGGAGTTATCACCTTTTACATGAACAAGATATGAGACGGGGATTTGCCTTTTTTAAGATATTCTGCTGTATCACACTCAAAATCATGTAACAGAGCTTACAATAAAAGTCCCAAATCTATGTAAATCCATCTATTTTATCATATAAATTCCTGTATTAATTAATCATTATTTGTTACAAGTCTCAAATTTGTAGAAAACTTATAACTATTGTATAAAGGTTTTCACATTTTATAAACATAATTATAATTTGAGCTCTCTATTTTTATAAAATGGGCCTCCATTCACCTTACTTTTTACGATAGAGTATTTCTCATGAGGACAATAAAATCAAAGTGGTCTTTGTTTTGAAACATGAAAAAGAATAACAAAAAACTGATTTGCAATAAACAAACAGGCCTAGGTTTTCTTAAACATGTTCATCAGGTTGGATTATTAAATTACAAAACTGTTTTTTCTTCTTATCACAACCTTTTTGTTTTGTAGCGTTTCAGTTCAGTTTATATACAGTTGAAAAAGATCCAGACAGGTTTGGAACGTCATGTTTAGTAAAAAAAGGTTGTGAAAAGAAGAAAAATAGTTTTGTGAGGCCTAGGTTTGTATATTTAAGAAATGAAAAAAACATACTTATGCAAATTGGAGAGATTTTGTTATGCTAAGGTTGTTTTGGTAGCTCATTGACTGCTGGTCAGTCAAAGTATATATTTCAAAATTGTAATATCCCAAGCCCCTGTTCTACCCATCTTGTATATTCCCTTAACACCATCTTGGTGAGAAAAATGTGGAGGGAGGATCTAGAGACTTGCTGCAAGTGGCTATTCAGATCATTGAACATAGTGAAGTGATTCACAGAAAGTGTTCACATTTATGGATGTTAATAGATACTTCATTCACAGACTTCACTGTATTTAACAATAAACAGAATATAAACAGAATAAAACCTCTATTAATAATGATTTGATACAACCTGTTATTGGTTTATACAACATAATCCAATATTTCATCAAGGAATTCCACTTACTAAGGGAGGGTCGACATCGTGCCTTGCAGTGATCACAAAATTTTGTATAATGGCGCGATGCATGAGTTTTTTTAGGATGGGGAGTTCAGTGCAAGTTCATTCTACCTGCGTTGACATCGGGATCCTTTTCTAAATTCAGGGTTTAATATGCCATAAATTGGTGTTGTTGCATCATTGCTCAAATCTAAAGGAGTGTTTTTGCTTCTTCGGTTCGGTGTTGTTGCATCAATAGTGAGGAACTAAAACCGTGAATTTATCGCTTCTTGATGATGCTACATGTATACCTATGACAGTTTTTATTAAAATACATAGATCATGCCCTAAGGGCACGTGTACCGTGTGATCTATATTGATAAACTCGTCCTAGAAAATTGTTTAAATTGGGAAAACAAAATATCTTAGGAAGATCAATCACCGGAAGCCTGGTCATCTTGATGCAGCAACACATACCCCCCCCCCCTTGTAAATTACATGCAACATCATGGGGGGGGGCCCCCATCATGTGGAGACTCGTGAATCAGAGTAATCAGTGTTAAGACATAACAAAGCTTCCAAATTTTGTAATGGATTTTATGTTCCAAAGTGAAAGGTATGAAAGACATAGCCACTCCAACGTAAATATGTTACATTGATTTTAATAAAAAAAAAGCCTACTGGTTTATATTACACTGGGCGTTTAATTCTGTCAGTTTTACTTATAGCTGCGAGATTAGTAGTCCAGTTGTTCACGGGGACTGACGCTCCGCTGACATCGCGAACAATGAGCTCATGTTGGAACGGGACCTTGTAAAAGATTCAGGATGTATGAATAAAGGGGTTTTCTGAAATTTTTATAACAAGACCTCACCAAATATCAAAAATGGGCGCCAAGAAATCAACCAAACATGGCCAATATCTAATCAAACATGTCAAATGTTGCCACTAATTGTCTGCTCTTGCATCTAAAAATTAAGTTGAACGGATAAGAGGTTTTGCTAAAAAAATCCAAAAGTACCCCCATGTCTCTTCATGGTGTTACATCTGCTCAAATTGATGAAGAGATTATATAGTCAAAAAAATGTGCAGCTCGGGTATATGTCCCGAAACTGAACAATAACATTCAAAGTGATTCCTACCCATTACTTCATTTGCAAGATTCGATCACATCAATTGGGGAATCTAAGCCAACGTTTTTCTCAACATGTGACTTGACTAGCTCGTTTTGGCAATTGAAATTACAAGAAGAAAGCATTTGCAACTCACTCTGGCCTATTTGAATGGAATGTGGTGCCTATGGGCATGGTATCGAGTAGTGCCGCAATGCAGCGTACGATTGATATTGCCATGTCGGGATTGTTATATCAATGTTGTTTTGCATATTTAGATGACGTCATTGTTTTCTCAAACTCTTGACGATCACATGAGGGACTTGAGAAGTGTTTTTCAAAGATTTAGAGAGGCTAATTTGAGGACTAAGGCAAAGAAATCCGCGCTTTTCAGAGTCCGTGACATTCTTGGGTCCTGTTTTGAGTAGTAAGGGTATTTCAATTGATCAAAACAAGATACAGTTAGTGCGCGAATTTCCAATTCCAGATTGTCAAAAAGCAGTAAAGCAATTTCTCGGATTTAGCAGGTTGGTGCCGTCGTTTTGTGGAACATTTCAGCATTATAGCGTCACCTTTGCATGCTCTTCTTAAGAAAGGAGTGGCATTTCTGTGGAGTAAGGAAGCACAAGCATCGTTTGATTTGTTAAAACAGAAAATTACTAATGCGCCGATTTTGACATATCCAAATTACAATCAACCATATCAAATACAGGCCCGTAAGACTTTTCTCCAAGGGGGTGCGGTTTTTAATAGAGAAAATAAAATTGTCATTTTTCCGCGTAAATCAAATCGCGTAAGTCAGAGGGGGGGGGGGGGGTCAGTTACTCTTTATATTAGGCCACTCAGCCTATTTTTGTAGTATTTTATTGTTTTCATATTGTTTTTAGACTAAATATTGTATGAGCAATTTGGAGAAACATTGGAATAGGCAGGGAGGGAGGGTTTGCTAGAAGGCAATAGAATCAATTTAAAGAAATTCTGATTTTTTAATCATTTTCTTCTTAGAGGAGCGAGTGGGCAGCACAGGAAAATTTTACTAATTCAAGATGCTGTCTGGTTAATTCTGAGCATTTTTAATGTGTTTGAGTAAATGAATGCTTTAGTTTTTGGGATGCAGTGTCAGATTATTTATGATTTCATGATGTCACTTGGTGATTTCGGGGCACTTTGTTTAAAATTAACAAATGCAACTTCCAAACATTCCCAATTGTTATGTGGGGGGTGTGAGGAGTGCCCACTCCCCCTAGAAAATTTTACACTTTTGAGATGCTATTTGATGCTTTCTGGGCACTTTCAAAGTGTATAAGTCAATAAAAAATGTGTTTCAATTTTTTGGGGGTGTCAAAGAGGATAAAAGAGAGGGTGGGGTGGGGATGCCAGAGGGGGAGCAAAGGGGTTTCCCTCAGTCGGAAACATTGACCATTTCAAGGTGCTATTTGATGATGTCTGGACACTTTAAAAGTGACTCTGAGATAATACATGAACTTTTATCTATTACCTTCCATTTGTGTGAATTTCATCGAAATCTGAGCAATAATGAAGGAGATAGGGGCCAAACACTGAAAAGAGCCCCTAAAAGTGGGCGTGGCTTATTTACTTGGTTACCATAGCAACGCCGTCGCGGATTCAGAATTGCCAACATCATTTTTCTTGGTAAGTATCACATATAGTTCATAAAAATATATGCTGCTTAGCTCGCCTCTAAAAAGGACACGGAATTACCTTTGCTCCAAAATTTATTCTCAAGATATATCCAGTGGTATGTGAGATATTATATGAGCAATAACAATAGGACATCATTGATTGTCTGAGGGAGAAACCTATGGTATAATGCATCTTTAAGTTACATAAACGGTTTTCCGAAAAACAGTTAAGATCTGAGGGTCATGATTTAGGGACAGAAAATATTGACATTTCAAAAGTAACGCTTTTTTCGTCTCTTTTACCAGAAGACAATTTATGTGAGGAAGACTTGTTAAAAAAATGGTCAGATAATCCTTTCGAAAAAGCGCTACTTGGACTAAGTCATTTTTCGTAAAGAGTAATCTACTTTTATACGTTTGCAATTTTAAATCACGTTACTTCACGTTACTTACTTTTCTCCACGAAGAATGAATGCATTTTTATGTACACTCCCCTCCATAAGTTTGGCAACCTTAGCTCCCCCATTGAACTACGTTTTAAAGCCTCTTTACGTTTGAATTTTTATTTTCTTAACCGGCGATGAAATAACTTATAATATTGATGGAAACGTAACTTGACTTTATTTCCAATACCTTTCCCATTGAACTACGTGTTAAAGCCTCCGATTACCTTTGAATTTCTATTTACTTAACCTACGATGAAAATACTCAAACTATTGATGGAAACGTAATTTGACTTTATTTCCAATACCTCCAAATTTTCTCAATTTTTTCCTCAATTACAATAGGTCGGAAATTGATGATTTTGATGAACTTTTGAATATCGTCATTTCCATGTAAGCCAATGGGAAATGGATGGTTCGGGGCAAATCAGAAATCAGGATATCTATTCAGTGAAAGATTCAGCAAAAATATGTTTATATAGAAAATTGAATTGTTTAACTTTTGGAAAATAGCATGTGACCATATTGAGGGTTGCAGCAAAATTCCGAACATGCGCCCGGCCTTTACATTTCTGCAATTGGCTAAAGCCATTACCTGTAAAAGTGCCATAGGATATTTAAAAGTAGCAAAAAACTTGCATCATGGGAATGACTGGAACCTCTTTCTTATGACTGCAAAATTGAGAATGTGGAATAAAAGATTCATCATGTGTTCTAAGAAAATAAAGTTTGCTGAGGAAAATATGTATCAGGTAGATAATGAAGATTCACAATGCACAATAATATTGTAAGACAGTTACCTGGAAAATATTAAGTGTTGAAAACAGTTTCAGAAATAAATGACTTCACAAACTTCCATGCAGATAATTTTTGATTGGACTCGAGTCTGGAAACTTTTTTTTTCAAATAAATTTATTTATTTTATAATTCTTATATAAGATACACTATAAAAAAGCAAGCCGCTAGACACCCCAGTGGGTATATGTTGCGGGTTAACAGAAATTCTTAAAATTACATCTAGACTACATTATAAAAGAAAGCACTTATATTGTGTTACATGTAGGTATATGAAAATGGTATTTACGATTAATTTTAGGATGTACAATGTAGAAATGTTGCCAAAAAATCAGGTACTAGTATAAAATCAACAAAACAGTATAATATTGGTTTTGTACATTATCGATGTTATGCCAATGCTTGTTTTTCCCAAATCAGTTGAATTTCGAATTTGTTCAATGAAATATAAAAAGGCCATGTATGTAGAATTGAATTTCCGAAATCCA